GGAGGAATTATTTGAATACTCATTTTTAAAATACTTTCTTTAAACAATGTCTGAGCTTAGTTCTAGAACACGGTCTTACGAGGGTTCGTGTAATAATGATATATGCAAATTAATAAAATTTAAGTTCGATTTTAAATGAAATAGTCGTTGCATATTTCTACAATATTCTAGTCTCGTTGCATCCCTATCACGTTTATTATCGAAAGAGATTTCTAAGACTTCCATGACCTAGGTTTTTGCACTTCATATTGTTCGAGGTTTCCTAGGGTATAGATCATTTTTACGATCTTAATGGGTCTACTTCAACACCGTCGCAAAAACGACCGACAAACTCATTATCCAGAATAGCTTGCATTCTTAAGTAAATTAACCCTTTACGATCCAAAGTCACGTATGCCATTATTGTACTTAAGTCGTGTTCCAGTTCCTCGATCAAAAAGAAAGCACAATTTCTTTCAAGGAGAAATTACTTCCCTAAGAATTGCAAGAAAAAAGTATCGATTGAGAATTGAAACTATGCAACCAAAAAAATTTCTGTAATTTACAAAGATCTACACAGAACTTTCTAAATGATCTATTATTATAAAGAACCGGGCAAAAATGAATGATGACCGAGGATGTAAAATTACTCTTGAGTAAATCACACCTATAAACTTCGATTAATATTATTCACTGCAAAACGAAAATACACTTTCGAGAGTAGCCCGCGAGAAGGATATATTTCTGTTCGAGTTTGATCAACAGTAAAGTATTTCCGGTTAAGTATTAGGCAAGTTTGCAGTTCGCGAAATTGGCAGAATTTCTTGGAACCCGATACCCCACTTTCCTAAATTTACCCAAAACTAAAATCAAAAGAATCTTTCACAGATCATTCGCGATCTTCCTCCAAAATATAGTCGAATCACATTTCCTTTAATAAAATCATTTTCTTTTTCTTTTCTCGATTGAAAATTGAACACAAATATGACCAAATAAATATTGATAAAAATAATGGTCGAACATGAATAAAAATACAACGGGAAAACGAGCGAACGGAATGTTAAACGAAAGAAAAAGAACGAAAGTACGACGAAACATCGCGTGACGAATTGTCTCGACGAGAGTACCAAATTCTAAAATATATTTAAATAACACACACCAACATATACATGCATACATACATACACATACACACACTAACCGCATTATGTTGTAGAAACGTATTCTACGATCATTAACGATAAGGAAAAATACAATGTAGATAACACAACATGCTCGGAAATGAGTTCAAACATAAACACACAGGCATACCCCGTAGGTATTGGGCGATTACCATCTCGAAGCGATTATACATATATATATAAAAATTAAATATAAATATATATATATATATATACATATACCAGCACTCGGTAGATATAGGTACACCCATACGTTTACCTATACTACCTTAACAAAATAAATTAAAAAGAAAAAAAAGTAAAGACACTTCAACGTGGCTGTAAAACGCCAATTCTACGAAAGTGAGATAATAGAGTGAAGATGAAGAAAGAAGATAATGTTGAAAATTGCACGACAGAGGAGTATAGCAGTGCGAATTATACATAAATAACATATAATAGCGTAGTGTTAATAGAAAATCCGGAGAAAAGCGAGTGTCTGCTTCGAAACGAAAGTGTGAATCGTCCGTGAAAGAATGATCCGTGTGTATACTCTAACCGCGTGTACGATGTGTGCGAGTTATCTTCGTGATCTGTATTTTATTGCGGAAGTTCCTGTTCCTCGAGAATTAACGCGAACAATTAGAAGAAGCGAGATAAGCGTGACGGATTCGATCGAACCGAGAGGAGTATCCACCGAGATTTTGTAGAATCATTAACGATCGTGCGGGTGCCTCGATATCTGCCCGATTCATCGATCCTTTCCTATCTTTCATTCGAGATGTTCACCTTTCGTTCCACGAACGACCGTTCTGTTCGTGGACGAATCGTAAATGGATCTCGATTAGAAAACGTTCGATCGGTAAACTTGATTTTCCTTTCAACGATAGTGAAAATAAAAATAGAAAAAACAAAACAAAAAAAACGGGCAGGTTACGGTACGCCCCTTATTTACGATTAGCCGTGCGCCATCAAAGAAACCGTTTTTTGTAATATCCGAATAAAATGCATGGTCGACGACAACGTATATGGATATCAAGCTCAATCACCATTGATCGTCCCAGAGAAAACTATTCGATCGACTCTGTAGAAAAACCACCCCCCACCCTTAAAAACAAACGGCTAATAACGATGAGAAATTGGACACCCATGATCGCGAATGAATTTCTATCGGTGGAAAATAAAAGTTCTAGTCTACCTCGGCGCTCACCGAATGCCAGAACTGAGTTCGTTTGAAATGCATCAACATTTTTTATTTTTACTTTTCTCATTTAAAGTTGAATGTATGTAGCCAATGCAAATTACAAATTTACTTTTCTTTCTATTTGAGGGCAAACGTTTGTTTCATAAACATTTGTACGCAGTTTTGTTCGAACTTTGTTTAAACAGTTTCGAACAAATGTTTTAGCTCAGCTTTTTCTGTTGCCTATAATACCGTTACGTTTGCAATCCTCTTGGTTGCACAACGAGCTCAACAAAAATTCAATTGCACCACGAAAGTAACGCGAAACGTGTAAATTAAATTACGATGACCTCTTACCGACCTTATCCTTAATATTTTCAAAGGAATATTGGTTTACAAGCAGCCAACGAATAACATTACTATTTTTAAAAGAAGCAAATCCTTCTTTTTTATCTTGCATCTCTACGGTAATTAATAGAATTGATTTTACATTAAATCTAGAGAAAGCATTTTGCAGGTAATATTTTATATTGTACCTGGAAGTTACAGCTGTTTGCACAAATCACCTTGCTCCATTTTCTTTCTCTGTTTCATTTCATTTCCGTTTTCCGTGAAACAAAAGGAACAACGACCTCGTTATTCCGCGAACGAGAAAACTGGCATCCAGCGAGCGCGGCCCGAAAGAGACGAAAGGACACATTGTAAATAAATCAAATAGAAAGTGGAATCGAGCGATAGGAAAATAGATAGAGAGAATATGAATGTGGGAGAGAATGAGAGGGTGTAAGTGAAAAAAAGAATTAGAAAAAAAGAAACCAAAGAAAGAATGAAGAAGCGCGTGCGTGTATTATTAAGTTAGAACACACTACTGTATTAACGTGCGTCAGAATTGGAGAATTGCTCGCGCTGACTGCCGAAATAAAAAAAAAAAAAAAGAAAATGAAAATGAAAATGAAAATAAAAGAAAAGGACGTATTGACGGGACGTAAGCGTGTCCCTCGCGCTCGTATCGTTAACGGGATTTAAATGGAAAGAAATAACCAAGATGAGGAAGAAGTAAGAGAGATAAAATGAGAGGCGGGCAAAAGGATAAATGAAGTAAATAAAGAAAGAGGCTCTCCTAGTTACTTGCTCATTGAAATAATATTCTAAATAACGTTCGTTACGGAACAAAAGTCTAGATACGCATCAGTATAATTGAGAAAAAATAATTTTACGTACAAATAAGTAAGGTTTACGCGCGCGCGGCCGCAGACATGCGCGCGCACACGCCCGCCATATTTGTTCCGTTTTTTGGCGCCACGCGAACGCGCACTTGCACCGATTCATATCGATCTTTAAACCACCGACTCGACGAATCGATATTGTTTCATTAAATCGTAAATCAAATTACAAAGTTAAACTATTATCGGTATTTTCCAGCGATAGGTACAATTAAAGGAAAAATTAAAAAAAGAAAAAAAAAAATAAGAAAGAGAATAAAGAATCCTTTCCTTCCTTTTTATCATCTCTTATCGATGATACGTTCATGCTTCCTGACAAATCGTAATCGTATCGTGAAACACCGGTTAATCGAGACCTTATTGTATTTATGATTGCTACTTGAAATTATAGAACTGTTTATATTCCGTCAGACACGAGAAAAGAAAGAGTAGCTTACACGAAAAAAATATACACCAAATTGCTCATCAAGTGTTCAGTAGACGGGATACATCGAAGTCACGGACAAAACATGTGTTGTTGTTTCACCGACAATGATTACATATTTCACGGACACTAATCTCGACCGATTCTATGTAATCATCGACGAACGTATAAAGCATATTCGTGAACTTAAAGCTGCACAGAATATTCAATTTTATAATCAACGTTCAACAGGTTAAATAATAAATACAATTAGGCAAATTGCCCAATTATAAACTTTTCAGAAGCATTGGCACATAATATTGTAACTTTGTAATTACATGATTACATTAACGTTTGTATATTAATAAAATACGCATTAGTAACGTGTAACGATCTTTACTCTGTTTGATTGACTGTAAGCTTAAAGTATGTCTAAACAGTGTCGTGCCGGTAAGGTCGGTCAACTCGGCATTCTTGAGAACGCGTATATGTAAACATTGTCGGTACATAACGCGTAGGTCAATGAACGTGATTAATATAACGTCGAAGCAAACAATCTTGTCGATGGTATCTTTCGAATCGTTACGAATGATCTCGATGCATCTCTAAATTAGATTGCTTTTGTATAAATTGTAGAAAATTTTTGAGATAGACGCAATGGCGTGCGCATGCCTGCTCGCCGTTACGCATTCACGAAGGATCACGATTTCTATACATTTAAGGTCGATCGCTGTGAGCCGTACAATTTACAGTGAGCATGTACGGCCTGCGAGCAATTACAAGCTTGTGTAATTGAGAAACAAGAAAAAATATATATGGCAACGGTAAAAGAGAGAGAAAGAAATGCACGTGATAACCACCTTATGCATACTTATGGACAATGACGGCGAATATGATATACATTGTTACGTAAAACGAGTAATAAAGCAAGAGAAAATCGTGTCATTGCATGATCGATATACCTAAATGAAACTATTACTACGTGATATGACATTATTATGTAAAAGTTTTTATTGCGTGAGTAAAATTATGTTATGGATGAAAATGCCTACCTTATGCTTGTGAATAATCTCGTCCTTTCGAACAGCGTTCCCCTTGAGCAGCGACCTCTCACACACGATTCAAACGAGACCCCGGCAACGAACAATTCTCGTTCACTTTTCCCGTGTTTACTCGCGTTACGCGCGTCAAAATACTACTCTACGTTAAACATTATCCGTTAGTTAACTAATTAAAGCGCTACTTTTGCAAATATCTCACTAAAACGTGCAAAAATCGCATTAATCGTACGAAGAATTTAAATGCGTCACTCCACGATAGCGTCCCGACACGAAATGGCGACTGCCGGCCCTCTATGATCACGTGACCCTAATCCCCCGTGAGCAAAGCAGGTATCTGCGACTAAATTCATGTTTCTGTGCATAGATGGCGCGACTGTTTGAAATTACAGTGCTTCTCTTGAAGAATTTTGATTTTATTTTACAAGGAAATTACTTGTAAAATGATAATTTTTATTTATTTATTAGGCACGATTTATTAGTGTTACAGTAATGCGCAAATTATACAAATATACGTATATACACGCATCTTCAGTACGTGTCTGGTTTGAACCAGAAAAGACTTAAAAGGAATAAAGTTTTCAAAATATTTATTTATAATCAGTCAGTAAGCATTTGAATAAATATTTTATTAAACCATGTTCATACATATCAACAATTTTAATATTGTAATCAGTTGAATGGTTTAAAATACAAAATAAAACGTTAAAACTGACCTAACCTTTTGATTTTTTAGCAACCTCTTCGTAATATGTATATATGTACAAATTATTTATCCTTTAAAATTCATTACTTTAATTTCATCTATTTTCTTCTATTCATAATATTTTTATTGGAATAGAAATAAGATGCAATATTTCTACTTTTGTGTCTTTGTTGTATTGTTTCTATTTACAAAACAAGATCAAGGTTAAGAACATTCACTTGATCCTCTCGTATTTCATAATTTAATACTGATGCATACACAATTATTTATATAAAGTATTGATAAAGCAAATCTAATGTTTAAAATAATAAAAACTATATCATACTAACACAGTTTTACGTTTTCCATTATATTCCTATTATTTTTCGCAAAAAACAGTTCATCTGAGAATTTTCTGGTACTCTCACGTTTATACTTAGAAATAACGTAATACTTTCGTTACTGTGTGTAGATTTTTAAAAATACGAAATTTTACAAATTATACAAGAAAAATTCGAATTAAGTTATTTTTATAAAGCTAATACTAGAACAAGAATAAAAATTAAAGCGAATTGTTACGCAAGTACCACCACCAATACAGATATGCAAACGTTATCATTGATCGTACTTTCTTATTTCGGACACTTTTCTGTATTATATAAAAAATAATTCTTTTAAAAATTTCTTTTAGAAATTCTTTAAAAAAGAATATATTCTAAAACTTTATCTAATTATTTAAGCATCTGCAATCCTTCTAAAAACAAAAACGTTCTCTTTGTTCTTAAACAAACTGATTATTATAAGATTTTGGAATTTCTAAAATAAACGAAGAATCATTACGAAATTTTAAAAATACTTGTTTGAAACAAACATTTTAATGGAAATAATATACAAAATTTGCTTTCCATAGACCTTCAGAAAAATTGTAAGAATTAATGTTCAACTAAGATGTTCAGATCCTGAACAAAAATATTGGGCAATTAAACTTCATAGAAAAAAGAATATAATAATAAAAGAATGTTTTTAAATATGGTAAATGAAAAATTAACAATTCTATTTTGAAAAAATGGTTATTGCTAATACACTTTTTTCTTCATAATTATACAAATTTGTAATTAAAATTTGACGTTTCTACATATAAGAAAGATGTATTTTAAATTGTTTTTAAAGAAAAATATAATTCTTGATTGCATGCCAATTGTATGAAATATTACTAACAAATAATGGGAGTATATCAAGTATTCTACGGATATAATGTTTGATAGCATTAAATGTATTTAATATCCATGTGCATATACGTGTCATTATACCATTTTTGATGTTTACCGCATATAACCTTTTCTCAAGACTCTCAGATTCGAGATATCGCGACGTTTCTAGACATGTGCAGTAATGTCGTCATTTCCGTTTACTACGTGAGTGGACTTAGAAACTACGTACTCTGTCACACTTTTTATACTTAATTCAGTTAATTTTACTTACCAATTGTTTTTGAAATTTAGAAAATTAATTTTCACGATATTTTCTTTCACAAATAACTTTGAAAATGCGTGTAAACTGCTTGTTATTAACAACATATTTGATAGAATGTTCGAGTAATCGGGTGGGCTTCCGGTAAATGCCTTCTAGAATCTTCAAAGCTCGATAAAAGCGGCTGCTGCGCGCCACTATTCAATACTCTGAAAAGTGACGGGGAGAGAGACTGATCGCTCGAAGCGAACGCAAAGCTACATTTCGTCTGTGAATAATACATAAAACGTATTCTGATCGTTTGTGCAAAGGCTACTATTTTTTTTCTTGTGCATCAGTATTATTTATATAATTATACGTAATTAAAAACAGCGAAGATGCCGGACGACGTGATGATGTCTGAAGCCGGTGAAGTTGAAACCTTCGCGTTTCAAGCCGAAATTGCTCAATTGATGAGCTTAATTATCAATACCTTCTATTCTAACAAAGAAATTTTCATCCGAGAATTGATATCCAACGCATCTGATGTAAGTAAAAATTACTTCTACGTTTATGAACGGTTTTAAAATATTTCATGTACCGAGTATCTGGAATATTCCGAAGAATTTTTGTGCAATTGAATTACCCCGAAATATTCTTTATTATAGGCCTTGGACAAAATTCGTTATGAATCTCTCACAGATCCATCAAAATTGGATACCTGCAAGGAGTTGTTCATCAAGATTATTCCAAACAAAAATGACCGTACCTTGACTATCATGGATTCGTAAGTATCAATTTTATTTTGCTAACACTATTAAAATTTCAATAACTTTTTCAATAGTTTATTTTTTATTATTTTTCAGTTTACTGTTTGTGTATGTTTTAACATTATAATAACAGTAATTGAATTTTGCTTGTTACAGTGGTATCGGTATGACAAAGGCTGATCTTGTTAACAACTTGGGTACTATTGCCAAGTCAGGCACAAAGGCCTTTATGGAAGCTCTTCAAGCTGGTGCAGACATCTCTATGATTGGTCAGTTTGGTGTGGGTTTCTATTCTGCTTACCTGGTTGCTGACAAGGTGGTTGTAATTTCAAAACACAATGATGATGAACAATATGTGTGGGAATCTTCTGCTGGTGGATCCTTCACTGTTCGTCCTGATAACGGAGAAAGAATTGGAAGAGGCACTAAAATCATCTTGCACATCAAGGAAGATCAAACCGAATATCTGGAGGAATCAAAGATCAAGGAAATTGTTAAGAAACACTCCCAATTCATTGGTTATCCGATTAAGTTGGTTGTTGAGAAAGAGAGAGACAAGGAGCTAAGCGAAGATGAAGAAGAGGAACCAGCAAAGGAAGGAGAGACTGAAGATGAAAAACCCAAAATTGAAGATGTTGGAGAAGATGAGGATGAGGATAAACCAAAGGATGAAAAGAAAAAGAAAAAGAAGACAATCAAGGAGAAATACACAGAGGATGAAGAACTTAACAAAACAAAACCAATTTGGACAAGAAATCCAGATGATATTACGCAAGAAGAATATGGTGAATTCTACAAAAGCTTGACCAACGATTGGGAGGATCATTTGGCTGTGAAACATTTTTCGGTAGAGGGTCAGTTGGAATTCCGGGCATTACTCTTCATCCCACGACGAGCGCCGTTCGATCTCTTTGAAAATAAGAAGAGGAAAAACAACATTAAATTATATGTCCGCAGAGTCTTCATTATGGACAACTGTGAAGACCTTATCCCAGAATACCTTAACTTCATTAAGGGTGTTGTAGACAGTGAAGATCTTCCATTGAACATTTCTCGTGAAATGTTGCAACAGAACAAGATTCTCAAAGTTATCAGGAAGAACCTTGTGAAGAAATGTTTGGAACTCTTTGAAGAATTAGCTGAGGATAAAGAAAATTATAAGAAATGCTATGAACAGTTTAGCAAGAATTTGAAATTAGGTATTCACGAAGATAGCCAAAATAGAAAGAAACTTGCGGAACTGCTGAGATACCACACGTCTGCCTCTGGAGATGAAATGTGTTCACTGAAAGACTATGTTGGTAGAATGAAAGAAAATCAGAAACACATCTACTATATCACAGGCGAAAGCAAGGAGCAAGTAGCAAACAGTTCATTTGTTGAGAGGGTTAAGAAGCGTGGTTTCGAAGTTATATACATGACAGAACCTATCGATGAATATGTTGTACAGCAACTAAAGGAATTCGATGGGAAACAGCTAGTGTCTGTAACCAAAGAAGGTTTGGAGCTTCCAGAAGATGAAGAAGATAAGAAGAAACGCGAGGCTGACAAAGTCAAGTTCGAGAATCTCTGCAAAGTTATGAAGGACATTTTGGACAAGAAAGTAGAAAAAGTTGTTGTATCTAACAGGTTAGTTGATTCTCCCTGCTGTATAGTCACATCACAGTATGGATGGACTGCAAACATGGAAAGGATCATGAAGGCACAAGCTCTTAGAGACACGTCAACTATGGGATACATGGCTGCCAAGAAACACTTGGAAATTAACCCAGATCATCCAATCATGGAGAACTTGAGGCAAAAGGCTGAAGCAGACAAACATGACAAATCTGTAAAAGATCTAGTCATGCTTCTCTTTGAAACTGCACTCTTATCTTCTGGTTTTGCTCTTGAAGACCCTCAAGTACATGCTTCCAGAATATACAGGATGATCAAACTTGGTCTTGGTTTCGACGAAGAAGATGCGCCACCAGTAGAAGATGAGAAAATGGACACAGAAGTTCCTCCCCTAGAAGGTGATGCAGAAGAAGCATCCAGGATGGAAGAAGTAGATTAAGATCTTTCATTATTTAAGACTATTTAATTAAATCCAAAGACTTCTAGGATGTCGAAAGACTGTTACAGATTAATTCTACTTAAGTATTCAATCTTATTTTTTTTTTTTCGTTTTGTTTTTCTGTATATGACAGAATGGAGTGCCATGCTTAAGTATTACATAGTATAACTCTGTAAATTAATATTTCCGTATTTATTTGATAAATATTGAAGTAAACGCGTGAGCTCGGTGCATTCTACGAATATTGCACTTTATAAATTGAGCCTGCCACTTGATTCTGTCCTCAAATTCTTTTTTTATAATATATCATTTTCACATGACTCTTCAACAATCATCTTGAGTTTTTTTGTATATTTTCATTTCTCACTTTCATCATTCCATTGTGAAATTGTCATGTAGACGAATAACATCAAAATCGCTGTAAACAGTTTTGTGCGCAATAAAAATGACCTTACATATTTAAATTACAGTTGTATTTTCCTCATCTCTTTTTACTCTAATTGTAAGTTATAATACAAATATGTTTCTATCTTCGGAAAAATTTGTTAAATACCAGAGAATAAAGTTGAGTGAGATTACTAAATTATGGAAATGATTGCATAAGTATTTTTAATAAAGATCCTTTTTAATCAAAGTAGTTTTATATATTAAAATACTGATATTTATTGTAAAAGTACATTCACGACGTAATCCACAAATTTATCGATTACTGATGATTAGATATAATAATAAATAAATTTTATAATGAGGTGAATGCAGGATATTCAGTATTAAAATATTAAAAAGCGATATATATTGGTAATTTCCCATAAATTTTGTTAGCATAAAATTTGGAATACAAAGCATTTATTAACATATGATGCGTGTGCATAAAAATGAACGAATAAATGCACATTTTATAAAATTGCAATGCTATTATTTTTCTACCGATCAAACTATCAATATAGGTTGACCGATAGAGTGCGACACTGCAGATTGTCGAAGTGTTGCGTGTTGCCACATCACCACCAAATCAAACGTATTTGGATGATGTTTCTGTGTAGATTGCGCTCGTGCCGACTCTTCCACAATACGTGGAAAGCGTGAGTTTCTCTGCTTCAATCCAACATGTCAAATTTTTCTTGAATTTCTGACGAATATTTACTGGAAAAGGAAAAATCTACGTATAGGCAATCTTGATTTATTGAAGAGCTCTCCGGGCACAATATAGATTCAGAAATTATAGATTTTTTTTTGGTATTTAACGGAGTCAAAGTACTAAACGAACGACACGATGAGCGCACCGCAGGCGCAAGTGAAATCAAGAAACGGAGTAGTAAAACAAGTAAGATTCTCGTATTTTATAAAAATCTCTTCCTTAAATAATATTTTATCCAATTGTAAATATAATTTATATGATTACTGTCATATATAACCTTATATTTTGACATGCGTGCGATCACATTCAACACAGTTGCAGAGAATAATCGGTACCGAAAACATATGGTCTTCGGACCAAAGTAATTTCATTCCATACTTTATTTAACAACAATATCTTAATTACCGTATAAATATTTGTAATATTTATTTGTAATATGTATTTAAGCACACATTTATCTGTATTTATTTAACACATCTCTTGATTTAAAACCCTCTACTTTAAAGTTTTAAGCAAAGCTTAATTTTATCTTCCTGATCTTCTATGAAAAGTATATTACTGTTATATACGATGTTATTTTAGGAGTTAAGAATAGATTTTTCAACTTTGTTTTAATCTAGAACTTTACATTTTAAGGTTGCTTCTGGAGATACCATTGTTATTCGTGGTCAGCCTATGGGAGGCCCTCCTCCAGAAGCTACCATCACGCTATGTAACATAACTGCTCCAAAATTAGAGCGGTGGAAAGGAAATGATAGGTATTCACATATAGCTATTTTATATTTATTTATAAGTTATAATAGTGCCGTAAAAGTTGACCGCTGCTTCGGATCGAAAAAGCCAACTATCAAAGAAAACATTGCAGGAAATCTCGGGTATATGTTTCATCTCCGTTGCGAACGGATGAATTTTTCCGAAAAAATGGCAGTAACGATCAACCTTTATGAAACAATTAGCGGCTAACTTTCTTGAAACTACTACACTTTATTACATTATAATAATCATAAATGCAACTTGTTCCAGCACGGACGAGAGCAAAGATGAACCATATGCTTGGGAAGCTAGAGAATTTTTACGTAAAAAACTTATTGGTCAAGATGTAACTTTTGTTACAGAAAAATCTATTAATACAAATAGAACTTATGGTACTGTGTGGCTGGGAAAAGGTATATCTTTATATGAAAATTTATTACGTTCAGTATGTATTACCATTTATCAGAAACTGACCTATGAAATGTTTTAATAATTATAGATAAAAGTGGAGAAAACATAATTGAAACATTAGTATCCGAGGGTTTGGTAACTGTTAAAAAGGATACTCGAAATCCCAGTCCTGAACAGACGCGATTAATTGAATTAGAAAATGCAGCTAAAGCAGCTAAGAAAGGAAAATGGTCAGAATCGCCATTGTCTGAACACGTACGCGATGTAAAATGGACTGTGGATGATCCTCGAAAATTAGTTGAGAAATTTGGCAAGAAACCAGTAAAAGCCATTATTGAATATGTTTTTGATGGATCTACAGTGAAGGCACTTTTATTGCCCGATTTCTATAATGTAGTATTGATGATATCGGGCGTTCGATGTCCTGGTTGGCCAAATGGAAGGCGCGAATATTCTGTAGGTGATCCTTATGCAGATGAAGCAAGATATTTTGTGGAATCTCGCCTTCTACACAGAGACGTTGAAATAGTACTTGAATCTGTCAATAATAATAACTTCATTGGTAGCATTCTTCATCCAAAGGGTTGGTATATTTTAAACCACATTCAATTAGACCTCTGATTATTTGAATAAGCATTTACAAATTCTTTCTTTCTAACAGGTAATATTGCGGAAATTTTATTGAGTGAAGGTTTTGCTAAATGCCAAGATTGGTCAATTAATAACAGTAGAGCTGGTGCAGAAAAGTTGTACCTTGCAGAAAAAGCTGCAAAAGAAGCACGTTTGCGTTTGTGGAAAGATTATAAACCATCAGGTCCACAGATAGAATTTACTGGAACCGTTGTTGAAATTGTGAATGCGGATGCACTTATGATCAGAACTCAGAATGGCGAAAATAAGAAAGTCTTCTTAAGCAGTATCCGACCACCGTCCAGAGAGAAGAAAGCTAACGATGAAACTAATAATGCAAATAGAAAAGATTTTAAACCTCTTTATGACATCCCGTGGATGTTAGAGGCTCGTGAATTTTTACGTGAAAAATTCATCAGAAAGAATGTGAAAGTTGTTGTTGATTATACACAACCCGCCAGAGACAATTTTCCGGAAAAATTGTGTTGCACTGTTACCTGCGGTAAAACGTATGTTATTATACTTTTATATACAATACTATGAATTAATTTGATTTAAGTTAGATTTTTATTCAATTTTAAATATTTTATATTTTTTAGGAATATTGCGGAAGCGCTGGTTGCACGAGGTTTAGTAAGAGTGATTAAATATAGACAAAATGACGATCAACGTTCATCTCATTACAATTTACTGCAAGTTGCAGAAAGTAAAGCAGAAAAATCGCAACACGGTTTGCATGCAAAGAAAGATGTTCCTGTGCACAGATTAGTAGATCTTTCTAATGATCCTCCAAAAGCAAAGGCATTTCTAACGTCCCTTAAACGAGCTCAGGGCATCAAAGCTGTTGTCGAATTCGTCACAAGTGGTTCACGTTTGAAACTGTTTTTACCGAAAGAGGATCAGCTAATTACATTTGTTTTGGCTGGTATAAGAACTCCTCGATGTCAGAGATCGCTACCTAGTGGCGGTGTTGTTAAAGCAGATGAATATGGTGAGAAAGCATTAGCTTTCACCAGGGAACACTGTTTTCAAAGGGATGTGGAAATAAAAATTGAAAGTACGGAAACGAAAGGAAGCGGATTTATTGGATGGCTGACAGTGAATGATATTAATATGTCCGTTTCTCTTGTCGAGGAAGGACTTGCAGAAGTAGTTACCTTCCCTGACTTCGGAGAATTAACGAGAACGCTTAAAGCGGCTGAAGAACGTGCCAAAACGAAGAAGTTAAATGTAAGTTAGCTTAATGGAAATATCATTTAAAAGTGGTTTGTAATACTTGCAAATACTAATCAGAGTGTATTATGTATTACAGATGTGGAAAAATTTCGTAGAAGTACAAGTAGAAAATGAAAAAAATGAAAACGAGAAAGAAATTGTGGAAAGAAAAATTGACTACCAAGAAGTAGTCATTTCTGAGGTTACTGACGATCTTCACTTTTATGCGCAAAGTGTCGATCAGCGCAGTATGTTGGAAACTCTACTGTTGCAATTACGTCAGGAATTAGCATCCAATCCTCCGCTTCCGGGTGCTTATAAAGCTACCAGAGGCGATTTAGCAGTTGCCAAATTTACCGGCGATGACCAGTGGTATCGCGTTAAAATAGAGAAGGTTTCTGGTACAAATGTCAGCGTTTTTTATATTGATTATGGTAACAGAGAAACAGTTAATGTTACAAGAGTTGCTGACTTACCATCAAGATTTGCCACTGATAAACCTTATGCCCATGAGCATGTTCCCGCTTGCGTTACACTTCCGGGTGATGTAAGTAGTTCCTTAAAAAACACTATTATACAAATTTTTAAATATTTTGAATATACTAAACGTTGTGTATTTTATGTATTTATAAATATTTTCTAGAATGATGATAAAAAATTAGCAGTCGAGTCTTTCAAGGAAGATGTAATGGATAAAATTTTATTATTAAATACGGAATATAAATTGAGCAGTAGTGTTACTGCTGTAACCTTGGTTGATTCTTCTACTAATGATGATATCGTGAAGGGACTTATTTCTGATGGATTATTGCTTGTTCAGAATCAACGTGATAGGAGGCTCACGAAATTGGTAAGTACATGTTTTACATTATTATCTGTACATACATGGAACTCTTCGATTAATACTCCGAAACAAAAAAATATTTTTTATGATAATTTACAGATCGAGGAATACAGGAAAGCAGAAGAAGATGCGAAACATAGTCGACGTAATATATGGAGATACGGCGACATTCGCACAGATGATGAAAAGGAATTTGGATTATAAAGAATTAAATGCTCAAGGAATGGTTAAAAAAGTGATTGATACAGGGAAAAAGACATCATGTTATGCATAATAATTGCAACTGCATAATAATTGTGTAAGAACCTATTACATAGATTAACGAAAAATAATAAATGTCCATATGAGAGTTATATATGTTGCATTGTTTATGATGCAATTATACTTCATTACATACAAATATGAATTGTATATACCACTTTCATTGATTCTTGTAATTTTTGAACGAAACAGTGACATAATATATTCGATAATATATTGTCATTCGTTATTTGTATTACAATGTACAATTTTGTTAACACTGAAAGGTACCGTACACGACTATTTAAAATTTTACATGATGTATACGTGCAATTTATTTCTATTCATTTACATTTTTATTGAAAAATATCAATGTTTTTACATGTTTACGTCGCATTCAATCTCATGCGAGAGTTATATGAACACATATAAACTCCATAATTGTACATTTCGTCAAGCATACTTTGTTATAAGTATGCAAAGACTTATATTAAGAAAAGATACTATATTTTGGTTAAAAGTAGCATCAGTAAATCATTGCATAAACAATCTGAATGCTAAACGAAATTATACAAAATGTACATACAAAATCATTCACGATATATGTATTTTTTTCAATATTTAACTTGCATTTATCCTATTGGATGTTAATATCGCTTCAATCTGCGATATATTTTTACTTCAATCAGAAATAGTACTTTATGAAATAAATATCGATCAAATTAAAGTTAATTTCTTTTTTCTTTCTTCTTCCACGCTTTTAATTAGCGCAAATATATTTGGATCTTAATCAATTCGTAAAATACTTATACTGTATTTTTTTATTTTCTTTGTTAATGGCTAACAGAAGGAATAATGAATTAGAAACAAGGAGTTCAATTTGAGACAAGATACTGTAAATTTAAAAAGAAACAGGAAAAGTTAAAATTAACAATGTTTCCATCTGAGAAAATCGATATAATCGATACGTAATATATATAACTTAAGAACGTAAAAAAGTTAATATTTACGTGTAACGTGCAGATGGAAACATATGTTACTCAAGAACAATCTGTTAAAAACTAATTAAATAGTAGATGTTTATAATCAAATTAAATAATATCTGATAAATTTCTATGAACATTTATCGGTTGAAGTATGTAAACAGCATATCATTGAACATTTACTGTGCTAGAATTGTACATCCTATAATCAAGAATTTATAGATTTACTGGTGCAGAAAAATTAGACTTATGATTTTAAGTACATTTCAGTAGAAATGATAAACATATTACTGGTATAAGTGAACATACTGTAGAATCAAATTAAAACAATGTAGCTTCGGATTATTTATGAACATCATTTCCTAAAATTTTGTCCATACGTATATGATGTTAATCCCTTGTAATTTGTATATTATACTATACATTTCACGTTATACTACCGAAGTATCTAATGAAGAATTATATTAAACGTTTTGTAGGACATTGTGTTCATGTACACTTATATTAAATAAATACAAACAATCATACTATAAGAGAATGGGTATATCTAAATTTGAAAAACAATTTAGAACCGTAAAATTTGTAAGATTAATATCTTTAATTTAGCAATTTGACTGATTTGTAACTATTTCATAGTAACGTATATCGTATAATGTGAACTGCAAATAAATCATGAAACTTTTTTATTTACATAATTATTTTTGCTCTTTAAAAAATGTAAATGTTATTTAGGATAGATTTTTGTTGCTTTTTTCGGTACAGTACCATTTATTTTATTGTTACTGTTTAAGAACCTATAAAGAATTTTAATAACTGAATTATATTTTACAAATAAAGTCTTGTGCGGGTTTGTTTTCGTTTTATTATATTAAAAATATAAAAATAAAAATGATGGAGAAGAACACTGTTTATGTGGAAAGAAAATTAAATTAAATACGATATAAAAATCTATTTTTATGTATAGAAATGAAATTTAATACTAGCTTACAAATAAACCGAGTTTAAATTATACGTATATTAATAAGTATTACACATTTTGAACTGAATGTATTGTATGTTTCAACACTGTATTATCCCAAGAACAAGAATATAATGCATCTTTAAACCATGTTAAACCACGGACGAAGTCACTATGACTTTCATCCTTGTATATGGATGAAAGCTGACTGTTTGTATCAAGTACTTTTACAATATTATCATCACAACAACACGCCAATTCTTCTGACCTAGAACATAATAATACTATACAGTTTCTTGTATTATTAACATATTTTCCAATAATTCAAGTATTTAATTTCTTGACTTGCATTACCTTTCCGAATTCGGGTTAAATAATAGTTTATGTACCGATCTAGGAAATATACACGTTTCCTCTAATACTGAGGTATCTGTTTTTCTAATATCAATCAATACTACGTCTCCACCATCGGTACCTATTGCTAAAATATTATCTGAATTGGGATTCCAATTTACCGCAGTTAAACCAATATCTTTTTTTAGAATACCTGAGAAGCAAAGTAAAAAAGATAATGGTATCATTCTGCAAGATTTATTTTTATATATATTTTTTATGTTATATCAATATGCGCTTTGTAAACAATTTCATTTGGCGGTAATCAACGAAATTAGTGAAACAGAAAATTGCATTTTTTAGCAAAATAAGGGAGTTTTGTACTTCGTTGACACAAAATGAATGTTCTATGATTATAATGAAACTTCATTAGGGGTATTATGGTACGCTTCGAGCGTTAAAATCAATAATTTAAAATATTGCATTTTTAAACACGCTATAAAACACTATAGCCACCTAGCGGTAGAGTACCGGGATTAGTGAAACTGAATTTGATTACTTCTTTCATCTTACAAAATGCATTCCAAAACTAAATGGAAGAAAAAAAACTTTGCCCACTATAATTCTACATATGATGAATCAGGATCTAATAATTTTAGAACTTATAACTGTTAGTATCTGGTTCCTCAGAAGCTGATAGTATTTTATATTTGTACTAGGACTTCAGTACATACTTTGTGCTGGTTTTGACTGTCTTATATCCCACATTAACGCCTCACAATCTGATGATGTTGACACAAATGCTGTAGTACTTTTGGGCTGTGCATCGACACAAGTGACTACATCTATATGTGCATACCCAAATGAATGGGTTACTAGTAATTCAGATAGATCCCATACTTTTAAGCTGTAATACAATTAACATCCTTCAGTATATGTCTTAAATATCTTTTGGCTTACAAAAGAACCTTTGAATATCTTACCAACAGTCCATTCCACCTGTGACAACATGATCTTTATCAGAAAATGCAGAAATAGATAGGGTACTGCTGTCGTGAAGACAAGAATATCCCATGCATTGTAATTCTTGCAAATTTGTTTCAGCTGTTTCAGCTAAACTAAAAATTTGCAAAACTCCACTATCTTCAGTAATTACGAATTTATCCTCTTCTAGATATATAGCATCACAGACACCACTTTCTGTTTTTGTGGCAACAAAACCTTTATCTCTATTAAAATCTGAAATATCGTTGTAATACCACACGGTACCGCTCCAGTAACGATCTGTCATGTTACTACCACCAAGAATAGCGCTTTTTTCTGGGAATAAATGAACATGCAAAGTCTTTATATGTATTTAAAAAGATAATACACAAATTATTAAATTATTCATGGAAAATTGAGCTAGTTTGTTATAAAAGCATTAAAAAAATCATATAAAAGATTTAACCTGTACATTGTTACCATTATAAATCAGAATAAACTGCAAATGCTTATCGGGGACAGGTGGCCTATCGGCTGCTGTCATATTTCTATAAACATCGGCATTTAAATTCGGATCTATTAAAGAACTCATCTTAAATTTCTTAATTATTTCAAACACCTCAGTGAAACACAAATTTAAAATGAACCATGCGCCAAACCGGCGAGAATATATTCATGTATAGATTGTAAAGTGCCGCGAACAAACCGAAACAAGTTAATCACTTCAAGATGCGTAAGATTACCAGCAAATTTTTATCAAAACGTAACAGAAGATTACCAATCAAAAACAAGATCTATAATTAATATATTTTCAAACAGAAGTTAACATTCAGAATTAAGCGAAATCATAATTTTAATGTTTCCAAATTGATTTATTGGTGAAACAAGAATGAAAGTGATAGAATACATACATTAAATTCTTTATAGAGTAACCAAATTTCAGGAATTATAAATTATTTATAATATCTGTGATAACAGAATTTATAATTTTATTTTGTCACATTACGATTAATATTGATCAGTATCTATTAACCGAAGTAAGCAATATCGGTAATTGCGTAGTAGCTTCTGTCGACAATCTTTTTGATTTCATTTTGTTCGAACCGTGTGTCTTTAACCGGTATTCCAAGTTTCGGGATGTGCAGAAGTAGCGAATATGATTACCGCGGTAACGTCTCTTCGTGACGTAACGGCTATACTCCTGATACTTTCCGTCGTAACGCATGCGTATTTGATTCGGAGCAAAAATCAGAATTAGTCCAACGGAATCCCGGAAAGTAGTGAGACACGGCGGTGCCGTTGTATAAAATCATAAGCAGGGCTGATTAAACTGTCAAGACGTAGTCTCGTACAAGTTATTCACGCGTTTAAAAAGTGTTGCGACTAATCGTCCCTGGGATACGGTCAACAGTCAAGCAGGATGGTGAAGCCTGAGCAAGTTTTAATTATCGAACCGCAAAGCGAACTGCGGTTCAGGGGTACGCTTTAACGACGAATCATTCTTTGATAAGCATTTTCTTCACATGTTTCTTCCTTATCTTCTGTTCTTTTCGAATTTTGCCAAAACCATGACTGGCAAACGCATTGTTGGTTCGTTATCATGAACTGCACACGGTGCGCTACGTTGTCAAGATGACGTAAGATTGATTTCGCTAGTTAATTTTGTTACATTTTCATTTGTAACTAAATAGGATTACGTACGACGACCTAGCAGAAATCATCGGCCTTCTTGTTCGTACCTAACCCTATTCGTTGTACGTCATTCGCTGTCAAAGCTAAGTAGAGTCATGATTGAATCCTCCGATTCCCCCCTCTCACCTCCATTTCCCATTAGCCGATATACAGTCAGCATATTTATCGAATTGGAGCGCATATGTTTATTTTCTCTATATGTACCTGATTTATCCCAATGTCCTCGAAATTTTTTTAATAAAACATTGTTTAAATTACGTTTTTATTGAACGTCACATTTCGGTTGTCGTTTAATGTCGTATATAACGTATACCGTCGCATTTGTTGAGGACGTTTTGTATTCAAGCGTTTAGAAAGCATGGAGAAAAAAGTACTTATAGTATAATATCTGTTTCTTCTTCAATAATGTTTGTTAACAATATTTATACTTTGTTATTTATCAAGCAAGACATTTGAAAATGTTATCAACAAGTAATTATTAACATTTCAATGTTTCAAATACTTCATTTAAACAACAAAGGGAAGCAATTTAATTGTTAACATTTGTATTTGATTTATTTATTTTATTATGTTTTATGAAAGAACTGTAATAAAAATTGTGCGTGTAACATTTATTTCATGAGTCATCTCTTCTTTGTAAGATTTTTTAATAAAACAAAAACATTTAAAAGTAACATGTTTAAATATTATTCAGGATTTATGTTGTATTACAGGCCCGTTCACAGGATCAACAGTCACATCTTATATAAAATTAACTAATCCATCGAATCACAAAGTTTATTTTAAAATAAAGACAACTGCACCTAAAAGGTATTGCGTACGTCCTAATTGTGGAACTGTTAGACCAAAGGAAGTCACTCAAATAGCTGGTTAGTTTTAAAGAAAAAAGGTCTATGGTGTTCATACACTTCTTGATTAATTTATGAAAGTTATCAGTATAGATTTTTTAAACTACTTAATTTACCTTCATTTTCAGTGACTCTGCAACCATTTGATTTTGATCCAGCAGAAAAAAATAAACACAAATTTATGGTACAAGCTTTAATAGCTCCGGATGATGATGATGAAGACTATTCCGATGTGGTATGTAACATTGTAAAGATTTGTTCTTTTAACATTAGGTAGAAATGATTATGTTTTGGGGTCTTTGTTAAATATATCTAATACTTAATTTCGTATGCAACCCAACTTTTGAGTTTCTTTTAAAGTGGAAAGACACAAACCCAGATCAATTAATGGAATCTAAATTAAAATGTGTATTTGAAAATCCTGTAACTAATACAACAACTGCTAAAAGTCCTTCAACTGCAACAACGACTAAAACGGAAGTGAACACAAATAATGGTAAAAACAAAGGAGTTGGTGATTCTGTTAAGTCATCACCAAAGGTAACGATTAATGTTCAGTGTATTTTGCTCTTACTAAAATGATTGCTTATGATGTAACTAAATGACACATATATGTTATCAGATTCTTGGGGAAACAGAAGAAAAATTAATAAAAGCAGCACAGGAAGTGAATCAGCTCAGGGTAGAAGAGAGCACTCTTAGGCAGGAAAATCTTCAATTGAAGGTAAGAAGTTAAAGGGTTTATGAATTATGTGGTTATGAAATATGTAACACAATACCGCAAGCTGCATTTGATTAAAAAAAGGGAAATTTACATAATAATAGGTAAATAGAGAATTAATTGTTATTTGTAGGAGGATTTATTGAAATTACAAAACGCGGCATTGGGTAACGATGCTACTTTAATAGCGGCTAGAGGTTTGACCTCACCAAGCAGTAGCCAATTGTCACCAATTCCTACCAGCGTCCTCATTGCTATTGTCATGGCCATACTAGGATATGTGCTGGGAAAATTGATCTGAGCAGCCATTACTTTACCGCATAACTTGGCACATCCCTTCTTCCCCTGTGTTCCTTAGCCTGCCCTCTGCTACCATATACCATGTACTGATCGTAAGGATCGAAACCAGTCATTGTATTACACGGTTGTTCATAATAAATATTATAAACATGAACGGGTAGTGGTTTACAATAATAGAGTTATCAGCTGCAGGAGTGTGCTTATATTTTGGTAAAGCGACCGAAATTAAAATCCTCTTTTAAGAAATAAGCGCAGTGCTCGAATGGTTACTGTTGGAGTCTTGTCGCAAAACTTTATGACAGATTTTGTTATTATGTATTAAAAAGAAAAAAAAACGTACTATTAGTTTAAATAGAAAATTATAAATAAAAATAAAGTATTATATATTCACATTTATAAATCGCTTTTGTTTCTATATTTCTTACAAAAGGATTTTCGCTTTACATATAGGCTTACGATTGTATCATTGAAATCATGTTGTCACTAAGTGAATTATGTATAGGATACAAACAAATTTATTAAATACAATTCCTTTAAACGAACATATACGATTCAAAAGAAAGTAAATTCTGTTGTCTTGAGAATTGTTGGATTCTCGTATGAAAGCAGAATCCGAATCTTTTTTTTCTCTTCAACATTCTCAGCGGTACTTAACAATCACACGATGTAAGATTGTACATAATGTATCCATTTTAAAATAATGTATTAATGTCTAACATATAGTCAGGAGGGGAAGGGGGGCTGGCCGAATTGGTAGTGGTCTATGACTCAGAAATTGGACACGCTGGCTTTATCCATCAGTAATGGTATATCACTTAAGGAGTTAATGCATTAATGTTTTTGACGCTTCAGTGTATTTTTATTTCTTTATGTTTATCTTATAAAAATTCGAAATAAAGATGTCAGATGGCGAAACTTTTGTATTTTGTACCTTTCTGTCGGTTATCAGTTATTCAGTTGTTTAAAGTGGTGCATGGTATACACAAAACGTGGGGTACCATTTGAAATTTTCTTGTAACGAAATTATAAAAGAAGTTTATATACATATATATATATATAGACATACTCATAAGCAGTTTGTAGAATCTACAGTGTAGATTGTCACGTCACTAATAATATTCAGCACGTCACAGTTATTTACACGTGTGTATGTATGTATACATACATATATACGCATTAATATATCTGTGATTTAGAAGTAGAGAGAAAATTATAACTTAATCGTGTTTCACTGACGTTTCATTATTCTAATATTTCTTCATTCTATATACCCCTGCTAACACCTTCAGATAATGAAAAGTTAATTATTGTAGCATAAAGGTGTGAGCTATTACTAAACTATCAAGTGTAAAGATGTAAACATTCGTTGTTTACAGATTATATAATATTTATTTCGAAGTCGTATATACATACATATATATACATGTTAATATCTGAATATACATATATATTTTGTATCGTTAGATACTTTAATCATTCTTCGAGTTTCTGATCGAAGTATTTTGAATTCATTTAACAGCTAATTAACTTCATAAATATTTCAAGGAAACAAAATATCAGTAACTGGTAGAATGATGATGTGTGCAATGCAAAACTTACATAACACTTTGTTCTTTTTCGATTGAAACTTTTAAAACAATTCATCGTTTTACATATCCTGAGACCGAATAAAAAGCGCAATCAACTTGAATCTCTATATCGTGTGTTTGTAACATAAACAATTACGAACAACTGTCCAACTATATGCCTAAGGTACAGATACAAGTTGCTTTTCCGTGTGGTTACAAGAAAATGGTTTGAGAATTCTTTGGTAATGTACCGCGATTTCTTAAGCGGAAGAACTTTCTCTTGGTTCTTGTTAAAAAATAAAAGGAGTTCGTTATGAAACTGATAAATATACCATCGTGTAATATGCATCAGCACAAAATTATTTCGTCCGTGGAAAGACTACGATCAAAGTTTTTTTGTATATGATCGCTTCATTGTCGCTTGAATTCTTGACCCATTGTGGAGTGTCTTGACGTTATTGTATTTAATATCACTGTTGTGAAGAATATGTAACAATATAGAATTAATACCATTAAGTGGGATTGCTGTCGAATTATTGTCTAACTTAAAAAAATAATCCAAGCAATGAGTAACTAATATTACAACTTCAAGTTATGAAAATTAAAATATCAATGAAACATTTCCTTTATTAAGTAGTTTTTGTAAGGAACAGACCTTTTTTTGATTTTGCTAAAATATAATAAATCTTCTACGTGTGAAAAAGAATAACCTCATCCTTATCGTATAATTAATTTGCATCAGATAATTGTCTGGAAATTATTCACCTTGAAATTTTAATTTATAAGGTTCCAATACTATTCTAGAAAAATTTCTGCGAACCCAGGAACCTGGTGAAGCCGGGGGAGGTGGGTGCATCGTCATTTTTTTTGAGAAAGCCCATCATGCTCGGTGATGTACCGTGTTTCGCTTATCCCGACTAATTGTAAGTTCAGAAAATTTTAATTTAGTATTATTATTTCTTTAATTTAAAAATAAAAAATATTTATAATTTCTCATTGGCGAAATAGAAATATCATGCAGAATTGAAATGATAACAAACCGATATCCACGCACGGTATTTATTTTAACATTCAACTGACAACAATATATATATGTACAGTTTACGTATACGTAATATCAGTGTATATATACTCATTAGATTTTTATATATAATCATAACGTTAGCTATCGTCCGCACCTGTATATTCTTATTTATTATTGCAAGCTACATCGACGTTGATTACCTGATACCTGACGTATCGTTAATAAAACTTTGATAACGCGAATCATCTCTGACAACTAACTTTACAGCCTAAATTCGTGTCTCTTCGAATAAACAATCCTCTTGTTTCATGCTATTAATTGCATCTTAAATATGGATGGACACGACTTCACACACCTTTTCTCGAAACTTAGTAGGATATGTATAAATACAACGAACAGAATTGAACAAATTCGAAACTTAGAAAATAGTGATATTCCATTCCTCCTATCGTTGATTAAGCACGTAGTATTCTCTTGTAATATTGATACGTTTCATTAACATTTTTTTTTCGTTCATTCCACTGATATTGATATGAATCCAACGGACTTTAAATTAGCGTGTAAATGTATAAAGTGCGCTGTTACAATTTATAATAAGAGAATCTTATTATTAAGACTCTTTATTATTGTCCATTAATTATTGTCTTATTTATGGGGCAAATAATCGTTACTCCATTTTGTATTTGTACCGCTTACTTAATTTTGTTTTATCATTCTGAGCAATAAGTATTAACGCTTTCGGCGCGGATGGCGTAATAAGACGACAGACCTGTCTCTACCGAGTGACGTCATAAGACGCCATGCTCAGTTTAACGATATCGCAGTAAAAGTATTGCGATGACATCCGTTCTAAAAATGTCAAGTGTTCCATATAATCGTTAAAACATGGAGGAACACGATATAGTAGAAAATTTAATAGAAAACCATTAAACAACATCAGCACACTCTATACACTAACGTAGTCTTTCGAGTCCCGAAATTTTGAAAATGATATGAAAACTGAAAATTCAATCGAATGAATTATTGTTCGATATTCGTATGTTTCGTGTTCCGAAAGAACGCACGCGAAACATATAATAGTGAAAGAAATATTTGTACTATTCATCGCAAGGGAAATTTATCGTGTTTCACGCGGCAGATTTACATCCTCCACTTATTGTCGGTTTACATTTTAAAAGACACTTCAACAATTATTTACAGCTACATCATATGAATAATCATAATATGCGAGTACGAGTAAATCACTAATCGGTTGAGAGTAACACAATTTTCGGGGCAATCATTAATTCGATAACAGGATCTTAACAAGTACATTAACGATATTTATACAAGGTGTCCCACATAACTGGGTCAAGCTATAGCTTCAAAACGGTAGAAGATAGATAAAAATGCTATCAGAATATCCCCAAGAAATTAATATTCTTATTAATATTTTTTTTTTTTGTATCTTTTATCACGTTAAAGTTATAGTTTGGTCTAATTGTATGAAACATCCTGTATATAGGCTATGTATATTAAATCGCGCTTATGTTATCGTAGTTTAGCACCTTCTTGGTAAACAGAAAAAAAGAACGAATATACAACTATCACTTAATCGAAGATAAAGATAATCTGCTCATTCTTACATAACGATAGACTAATTTTCGGTATTGTGTGCGAGTTCTGCAACTCTCTCTTTTCCAAACCGCTTCAATTGGAATGGTATATGAGAATTTGTGATATCGAGAATTTATTAGAAAGAGTTAAAGACCATACCCAAAAGCGCACATACAAAATAGAGAGATCCGAAGTACAAATAGACGCGATTAGGCGCATCTCGCTACTGTTCTAGTCTCTGCTAGTGAACAGTTTTCTCCCCTATCGAAGGAATAGATTTAGTTTTCTCCTTTTCGTAAATGACCAATTTCAAACGTTGATTTGAAAGAATTTTTGAAAAGTTTTTTTATATCAGTTGAGAAACCAATTCCTCAACATTATAAAATTTTTCTAAAAAGTATCCTATCTTAATTGCACGATATAAATAGGTAGAACATTGCAAAAAACTGAAGTTTCAACTTAACATATAAAATATACATATATGAGAACGAAATTTATTCTATCCCTTCGACGCACCAATTTCTTGATAGGCCTTTGCGAATGTGCAAGATAGTGCAGTGCATACATTGACCTTATTATTGTCGTATTCCTTTGATTTCAATCGATTAGATTGCATTATTGTCGTTACGATTTTCTCGTCATTGTTTTATTTTTATTGTCCTTACACGCTACGAACGTTCGTCGTAGAATATTGACGAAATCACGGGAAAATTGCAAAAAGCAAACTCACACGCTTGACATGCGCTCGTCTCATGTTCGTTTCTATCGCTATCATATACTTTCAATCGTGATAAAGCTACCCCAATCGTGCTGATCTATCTTTCTGTCCATGTGAACACTCTTCATTGTACAGTACTGAACATAGTAGTCTTCCCTGGGGAAAGAGTTTCAATTGGAATTTTGAAAATTTCGAATTTCAGAATTTTAGAATTTTACAATCTTGGAATTTTAGAATTTTGAAAATTTAGAATCTTAGAAACTTAGAGTCTTGGAATTTTTGAATGGTGAGGAGTCTCACCTCCTCTTTCGAAGGGGTACAGAAGGGGATGAATTTTAGTCCAAAAAATAAAATCATGGGGTAGGTTAATCTTGTTCTCAAACTGAAAATCAGGTTTTTCCATTTTTCCCTTCAGAAAAGTACCATGCTCGATAGATTACACAGAAATAAAGCTTACAAATTCGACGAGAGAGATATGTTGAAGTTTCATTAAAATAACTGATGATATCAATTAAAAACACAGCTACAGTGGGATATCAACTATAAAAATCCATCAAATTTGGTCATTCCCTTGAACAAGATTTTGATATGATTCTCGGTTACCTTCTTTCTTCCATACTTATTGAAATTTTCGAATATAGCTTGTATGAATTCATAAAAGGTAACACACAATGATATGATCAGAATAAAGAATTAACCCCCGAGCACCCTCAATCGTAATCTATACCTACGAATTCATAAAATAATAATTCTTTTAAAATTAGCCATTTCAATTTTTGAAACTGAAAAAAGATAACATCTGAACAGTGTAAAATGATAAAATGATAACTTCCCCTTTATAATATTTTACACGTATACCTTTTTCGTTTTATTTTTAGTATTTAAATATTTTAATATTATTCAACTTCCAATAGCCTCTAGTTCCTTTTATCTCAATTATAACTTTGTTTCATAAATTTCTTTAATATGATATAACCAGCATGAAGAACAAATTGAATTAAACTATAAAATTCAATAACTGAGATGTATCTATATTTGTATAAATCAAGAAACTGCAAATTCAACTTGAATTTTATTTTTTTCTTTAAGTAAAACTTCCAGTTTCTTATTACCTTTTCTATCCCCTTCATTTATTTCTTTTCATATTATTATTCAGACTTACCTTCTGAATGAGTATTGACATGTTTATCATCGTTAAATGATTCAGAGACTCGAAACACAGCAGAGAGACACGTCTATAAACGAAAAACAACCCTTAGTGATTTTAATACTTCCAAATTTATCTGTACTTTGCTTAGTTTTCAATCTAACCATGTCCTAGATTCTCTTATTTATGAAACACCGTCTATGAAAAAGGTCGTTAAATCTTAAATATAGACTGAATTATATAAATGTCATATTTAGAGTAATTGACACGGTACCCCCTTGTAATACGCTAAAAAACAAAGAGGAAGGATATCGTCAAGTATCAATATTAAACCGAGGCAAGGAATGAAATTTATAATTAATCATCAACGTTGATATCGGGTAAAAAAATGCTGTTTCTCGGTCTTTGAACCATTTAAACACATGTTAATCCAACATGCACGTGGATAACCATTCCTAGGTGAGATCCTCGTCGTCGTCGCTGGGACCACCGGTCGGGCAACACAAACCCTCTGACCCGTCGCTTCTTATACAGAATAACAAAGTTTCGGCTGGTGTTACTTCATGGGGCACGATCCCATGGAATTCTTTCAAATCGGCCGCGGGGAACCAGGCCTTCTCGTTATCCTCGATTATCAGTATTCCAAAAAGTCTAAATCGAGGAATAAATCGTTTACGTGTGAAAATATGAAAATACTTAATTTATTTTAATTATCTACTGACTGAGATTTTTTGCTAAAAATGATACTTAGTTTATAGGCTAATGCGGAATTAAATACATAAATAAATGAAAAATTATAAAGAAACACTTAGCGAATAGCTTGAGCAATGAGGGATATAGGGTTCAGTCAATAAAGGGTTAAATTATTTTGAACAGGATGAGTAGGTTAAGTAGGTTGAGTAGAGTGAATAGAATGATTCAGTAGAATGGTACCTGCAAATAGCAACTGCAGGAATCCAAAGAACAGAGGCAAGAATAAGAAGACCAATGAGACCAATGGACCACATGGGCCACTCGTGCTTCTCTGTGATACCTTTGCTGGCAACCCAAGCTGGATAACCACTTCCATCGACAAGGATTTCCACGACCGAGGCAACTAAAATGCTCAGCATGGCTAACGGACTGAGATATTTCCAACAGATTAGCCAATAAAGGCCTGGACGGTTGCCAGTCATCAGTTCGATATCATCGGCGAATCTATGAAACCCATAATTATGACGATTCGAATGATCCTGTGCATATATATATATATATATATTGTTGATAATAAATATATTTGCATACCTCTTTAGACCGTACACGTATGATACTGCGATGCATTCGAAGAAGGCGATAATCAGCAGAGGAAAGTTTCCACTGAAATTGTCGAACAGTACAAAAACATAGCTACCAGCACCATGGGCGAATGCCATTGAAATCACGCAACAAACCAAACAAATACCACCTATTTTGTGAACGAAACGAAACCTGTCAAGTGAATTTAAATTGCGCGAAGAAGAATTTTATTGAGTCTCACCGACCTGTAAGGATCTCTTTTCGAAGGTTGGGAAATAATTTCATGTCCACGATACTCGTGACTACACCCTCGAGGGTACCAAACTGTGAATCAATGCCCAATGTGAACAACATCAGGAAGAATAACACGGACCAAAATTGGGCACCCGGAAATTGATTGATTGCTTCCGTGAATATGATAAACGCTAAGCCTGTACCTGATGCTGACTGCAATATAAATTCGAATTAAAAATATAATGGGTGATTTAAATATTTGGTAACAGAACCGGATTAAGATTTCTGGAGCCCCGGGACTATTGAACATTCGAGGGCCTCTTTGGTCGATAAACTTGGTTCAAAAATTAAAATTAAAAAAAGAAGAAATTTAACTCCATGTAAAGTGAGACGCAGGGTTGTAAGCACCCCGCCTGGGGTGAAGCCACCACCTAAAACGATCCTCGGCGTCGGCAGCGTTGAGGAGGTTCAGGGGGCCATGGCTGCAGGAGTTCCCCTCTGAGTGCACGACATTGGAGAGCCCCGAAAATGTTCTTCGGAGTTCCCGGGGCTTTCCTCGCAACGCCCGGAGATGGTCGTCGCGATGGTTCAAAAAGGGGGACTGTAGGTACTCTTAAATCTTCCCTTAATCCGGCGCTGTTTGCTAAGTAATTCACGGACTCACATTATCTAATTCTTTTTGAAGATCACATTCAGGTAATTCTGGCATGATTAAATTGTCCAACGTTCCATTCCCTGTGGTGATATTTAAGAGTGTTCCACTGATTGGTATATCGTCTGGAATTTTATCAATCTGACCAAAAATGTTCATTAGAGTAGAATTTCTTTCTGATAAACAACGTTCGTAAACCAAGGTAGCTTTGAACCCTAGAAATTTTATATAAATGGATATTTATGTGTCTTATTTAATATTTGTGATTTAACCCTTTCGCTACTTTGAGTGACTATATATTGGTATGACAATTAGAATTAAAAATTTCTCATTGCAAATGAAATTATTTCATTTATATTCGGATATTGGATTTTATAATTTAATATCAAACTGTATAAGTATAGCTTCTGAAAGGGTTAAGATGAAAAGAGCAACATAATAATTACCGATGATAGAGAATACCACGATCCCAGCGAACATAGAAGTGAAACAATTTGTCAAACTAACCATAATGGCATCTCGATAACAATTATTATTTACGGGGTTGTAAGAAGAAAATGCGATCAGACCGCCAAACGCCAAACCAAGGGAAAAGAATATTTGTGTGCCCGCTTCTAACCAGACCACAGGATCGGTTAACTTCCACCACTAAACAAATTAATCGAGTGTTGTAAGCGAAAATTTTGTTAAGGTAGCTTATAAATATTTTTCAGCTGAACGTGTTAATTAAAGAGCTGCCATAATAAATGTAATAGATCACCTTTGGAGTAAAAAGATGTCGCAGACCGTCAGACATTCCCTTTAAAGTAACACCGCGAAAGAAGAAAATAATTAAAACTATATACGGAAATGTGGCAGTCACGTACACAACCTATAAAAAGACATTTCAATCTATAAAGTTGTTTGAAGAACGTGTAATTAACATTGCTGTGTTATAGGAAGACCCAAGGTAATGATCCTCCGACCTTATGAGACCTGATATTCTCGGGTTCTCGTATATCTCTAATAATTAGCATTGACTAATTTAAAGGAATACCTTCCCTGAAGACGCGATACCCTTGATCATGCACATGTAAACGAGAATCCAGGCGATAACTAACGCCAATGCGATCTTCCAATTGAATAACTCTGGAGTATTAATGTCATCGGAGATCATCAAAGTCGTTCGATACCAGAAGTACTGCGTGGGACTGCTTACCTGAGGAACAAGCACTTGTTTATACCGCAATGATTCATTTAGTTTGGATTATGTTGAAAGATAAATATGATCAATCGTACCACACACTCTGGCTCGGGTGCGTACGATCCATTCTGAAAGTAGATGTTGGGACACTCTGCCCATGGTAGCTGTGATTGGAAACTCTGGAAATAGAAATGAAATTTAAATGATATTTAAATTGAAAATTGTACAGTGGATCAATGATGATTTATCTAAGGGTTGACGATTGATTTTATAGATTTGAAATCGATTGGTTGCAACTTACTTGGACAAAGTAAAAGAGGCACCAAGCGATAATAGTGTTGTAATAAAGAGCTACATTGAAGGATACTACAGCGCTGCTTATTCCGATACCACCCATGTACGGAGAAACCTTTGATAAAAATAATACACGGTTTGTAAAAACTCGGTTTCTTTCTTTTGATAAATCATAGCGGGTACTTGTAGAATATTTACCTGATTCCACACACCAATAGCACCCTTTCGTAATCTCTGGCCAATCGCCAATTCTAAATAGAATATGGGAATACCCTCGATAGCCAACATTACGAAGTACGGGATTAAAAATGCACCTGTTTTGAAAAATAATTACGTACTTACATATTTCTGTTAATTAACATCCCTTTATTAACAGTGTCAAGTATTAGAATTTTGTAATTTTGAAATTTTAGAACTTTAGAATCTTAAAATCTTAGACTTTTGGAATTGAAAAATTTGGAATCTTGAACAGTGAGGGGGCCAGTTCACGTTTTTAGGGGGGGGGGGGGGGCAGGTCTACCTTAGCCCCTACCTAGTTACCCTAATGTTCCTGAAAATAAACGCACCTCCACCATTTTTCTGAGCGAGATATGGAAATCTCCATACGTTTCCGAGTCCAACAGCATATCCAACGGTTGCTAATAGAAAAGTGAGCTTACTATCCCAATTTTCCCTCTCGTCTTCCCCAGCTTCCGGTCGAAAGATTGCTTTTCCTTCGTTACTTCCGAGCTTACTAACCCCGCCCCCATTCCCCGTTTTGTTCTGCAACAGAAAATACTTGATATCATTTTCTTTCATTCATCTTCCTAATTGCTCACCTTCGTATTAGGACTGGAGTCCTCAAAGGCTGCGTTCGTGGCCCCATAATTGGCAGTGGTGATGTTCTTCCTATTATCAACCACTAATCTCCCTCTCATTTCTTTCATTTCGAGCTTGTCCACGCTTTTTTGGGGCTTCAAATCGCGAGAGCTTTGCCGACGGACCAGATGAGCCGTGTTCGCCATTCTTGCCTTTTATCCTGCGACCACGGTTTTGTTTTCTTTGCAAAGATCAAACGGAAATACCACGCGCGCCTATGGACTCCATCCTGTCGGAGATAAAAAAAGGCGATGATTATTATAATTGAAATTCATTATTAAGAAACGGAATATAAAATTCGGAAAATTTGATATTTATATTTAATTTAATAAATTTTATGTAATTTTATGAAACTCAATAAATCCAAGTTTAATTATTCCGTCCTCGGTTTCGGAATAATTGAATATAAGCGTATTTAATTGTTCAAACAACAACGTAAATAATATTAAATAATCATTGTAAATTTTCCATACTTGCAAGTGAAAATTATTTCTATTTTCAAAACTGAGGGGTCAGAATTTCATTTCTAAAAGAAAGTATTAAAACATTTTTTTTATTTTCATTATTAAATAGAAAGAAAACTTAAATGTATTGTTGTCATCTTTGTAAGATTAAATCACTTCTTATATTTCAAAGAAAAAGCGGATTAAATAAAAATCAAATTTTTTAATTTTGCTCAAAACACCTTGCATCGTGTTTTTCATCGATACGACAGTCACTCAGGAGGGAGAGATATTTGCTTTTCAGCTTTACCACGACCCTGACCTCCTACGCGAGAGATCTTAACAGTAAATTACAAATTACTTCACATCCTCTAAGTGTAACTACACTGAAAGAAACATATTTCTTATGGGAAATTGTTTACTTTTGTTCTCCATCATGTTACTACTACCACCTTTCCCCTGATCGTTTTAAAACAAATTGATAAATGAAAAATTATAAAAGAGAGAAAGATGCATTTAGAAAATACATTGTCACTGCCAAATCTCTGCGTATGACTAATAAAAATCAAACAACCTATCGCTGTTAATTGACGAGTTGTTCAATAACACATCGGGCGGCAATTTGACACGCGTAACACGTACTATAACTATTGTTCCCATTGACGTCATGGGCGCACCAGTCAAATTCGTCCCACACGTATTTCAATAAAAAGAAACATTCATAAAACAATTTACAAATAATAAAAAATCAATTTTTCCATTAACTGCAATTGTACGAATGAAATTAATAGTACTTCCTCGAGGGATCCGGGAGATTCAAATAAAGATCGGTCCTTATTGTTTTCGCGTAATGAAACTGTACGTAACAATGAAGTACACGATTTTTTTAATTGAATTAGTAGAACGAAATGATGTTTCTTAGTCACGATAAATCGTAACTAGTTCGCCACTGACCTGTTGGGGTGAGATAAAGAAAAGCGCTAAGGCCTCCTTATGGTTCGAGGAGCAGTTAGCTACTGTGGCACCCTCTACTAGGATGGTAACTTTTGAAATCACGATATCCAACGGAATCAATAGCAAGCGCCGGCGCCCCAATGCCTCACTGTCCTACAGACCGGAATATACCCGAACCCTTTTTGTCAGGAGATTGGTCGATGATCGGCGAACCGATCGTAACGACCAATGTCAACCATGTACATAACAGGGTTTTACCAGCGACGAAAAGAATGAAGATAACTGACAGGATAACTGATGCACTGGTTCATCGAAGTTGAAATGTTTTACAGAAAAATTAAATATTTTTTATGAAACGGAAAATGTATAGACAAGTTGTTGTCATGGTTTATTAACCTTTTCCAATAAGAGATAATTAAATAAAGGATTGGATTTGTATTTAAGAATCTGAATTCATTCAATTCGATTTGTATTGAGGTACTTTTGTTAGAACTAGAGGGATGCAAGTGTAATTTTTAGTAATTTTTTAATTAACAGAAATGGATAATTAAATATAATATTGTAAATGAAAATGAGTCACTTGTAACCCTTTCGTTGTAAATGGTTTAATTGAGGTGGAAAAAGTACATGGTAGTTATATAGTGGGTGTATTGTTCGAATGTATAGGATTTTATTCGCATATTAATTATATTGGAGATTCTTGTGACAGATTAAGTACAGGCATTTAACCTTTACAAAAACTAAATCGATAGAGTAACTAACACCTATCTTTATAAGCTATAAATAGAGAAACACGTCCAAATTATGGAATTTAGAACTTTTCGAATTTTTGGATTTCAATATTTTAGTATTTTAGAATTTTAAGATTCTGAGATTTTGGAATTTTATAATCGTGAGATCCTCCTATCCAGTTTTGCTAATGATCGTATGAAGTATTGTAATTGCTGTTCGATTAATGGTTGCTTCCTTCAGTTACCAACTATTCACATTACGGATCAGTAACAGGAAGAGAGTAAAGGTATGACAGTAATGCAATAATCGTTAATATTGTTTCGTGTATACGCTCATTTCGATTAAACAGTATACGATGAAACTTTTATAATTTCATTATTCTCATTTGTCCCTAATTGATCTTAAAAATAAAAAATAAAGAATTATGTATTCTTTCTATTTCAATACTTTTAAAACAAATTCAAATTTTACGCTGTAAATCGTATAAATGATGGATGGTTATTGTGATTTCAAATAAAACTTTTGTTCAATAATACTTGTCGGGAACACTTGATCATTGGATAATACTAGCGAAGTTGTAGTATCCTTTTATTGTCATCATTTGCAGACAAAAGAGGCTTATTCATTGTTTCAGTAGATAATCCTACTCTTAGTCAGACAAGTAGAACACGTCTGCGTGCGTCAGCTTCCACAACGTTTTAAACTACTTGTAATGCTTGTTCCATGAGGAATTATTATTTGTAATAATAGCATCATCTAAAGAATATCGTATTTGGTGGTTTTCGTCTACTAATTGTAAGAAGCAGTGTTTGGCATCAATTGATTACAAATTCTAATTTAATTTTTAATGAAACAAGAATTATTTGAAAGACATATTTTTATTTCAAATATTGCTATACAAAATTTTTTATAGAAACATTCCTTTTTTAATTTATATTATTTAATCTCAATAAATAAGGTTCTTCAGCGAACAGTTTCTTTTATTAAGAATTGTGTGGAACCAAGTATTCCTGAAATAAATTATCAAAATTAAAAATATGTAATTTTCTTTTTTATTTTTTTTTAATTTACTTATTTATTTATTTATTTATTATTAATTACACATAAGTACTTACGATCCATTCGTGATCTTTTGAATCTATCTTCAACAAAAGACTTCCTTAAATCTTCGATCATATTTTCGTCTTTATAATCACACTTTCTTAAATTTCCATTGATTAAGAGATATCTATAATCTTTGTAAGTTTAAAAATTTTATAAAATCAGAATTTGTACTGTTTTTGCCATTAAAGGATACAATTCGTGATAATGATTAAAGGCATCGATGGCCCATTCCAAAAGTAAATTTAATCTGGGTCTATAAGGTGATCCATTAATTAATTCTTTCATCGTTTCTTCGGTTAATGAAGCTTTACTTCGAGCATCTTCTAAATTTTTCAACCGATTTTTAAGGTCCTAAAGCAATATTTTGATAAATAATATAATCCTATAATTTTCATTGTGTAACAAAAATTAAAGGTTATTTTGAATTTCATAAATATATTTTTTAAGATTTAAAATAATGTTTGTTTTTGAATAAAAAGTAGAACTAATGCAAATTTAAAAAGGACTCAACTAAAAAAGTTTAAAGAAACATCTTATGTACTTGATTAATATTATTGAAGCGCGTTAAAATATCAAAAATTAATACGAGTTCGTTGTTAATTCCCATAAGAATTTTAAAAATCAATCTTTCGTGTACTTCGTCCATCTTACAGAGTTCTGCATCATTGACCTCTTTGCTGTAACAGAACGACATCTGACGGTAGAACTTGCGCTTTAATATCGAGTTCCTGCTCTAACAATCATTTGCACCAAAGACGGGTACTTGTTATGAGATTCGTAAAAAAAAAGTGGAAAATTGACATTACCTTGTTACAAGTCGGAGTTGCTCCGATTGATTCCTTAAGGCTTGTATGGGTCGTTCAGCTTCTTCAGATAGTTCCTTCCATTTACAGTCTACTTTCTCTAGTTGTGAGAAATAATTAATCAAACATTTGTGGAGATCTTTTGCCATGATTCTTATAGGTTATTCTTGATAAACTCAATGACTACAGATGTAGAAGACTAGACATGCCTTTGTTTTCGAGGGGTCATGATTTAGGGGTTCCTAGATCGTGTTGCGCACATACCAGCTGAGAATTAGTTCTTTCAAGTTCGTAACAGACCACGCAAGTGGCTCCACCAGGCCCAACGAAAAAACTGCTGCTATCCCCTTAACAGTCCTTCGTCGATGTAGTCGGTAAATTGTCGAGTAGTTTCTGTCGTTTCTATATAGATGACATTGAGATCGGTTTTTAATAATTTATAGTAGTTTTTTAAAATACAGATTTGTCGAACAGTTATTTCAAGTTTACAATTAATTTATAATCACGACTTCCTATTGCTTTAGAATGCTTTAGTGACAATGGGTTTGGTTTTATAGAACCTTAATTAGAAGTTTCTTATTTATGTGTTTAATAATATACAAATTAACAGTAAGTATTATATATATCAAAATATTTATTTTTGAAAGTCATATGTTTCAATATACTAAAAATATCTATTTAATTAAATACTTTTATTAGCTCTCAAAATTTTAAGCTGAAAACTATTTCATACCAGAAAGTTTCAACGGAATGCTTCATGTTCTAGAAACGAAGTAAGGTAATTGTATGTTAATTTCCGATAGTTCTACCTTAAGTATCTACCTTAAGTCGTTTGTCAGGTTTGTGAAAATTGCTGTTATATACCATCCAATTAACTGAATATCGAATAAACTACGAAGGTTAAAATTTACATCTACTTAGTTGAAGAAATTACAAACTATTAAGTTAATTAAGTTAATTAGTTAATTAACAAGTATTTTCATCATTAAAAAAAACCACGTCACGAATAATTCATAAACCTAATAGATATGAATACATAAACTTTTAAATGTTGGTATATGTATTTTCAAATGTCCGAAATGTATCTATTTATGTATTCTATGATCTGTATTATTAAGAAAATAAATCAAAAAATGAAAAGGAGGGCGCTGTAGATTCGTCCTTGGCGCCACTTTCTCAGATCTGTTCGCGCCCACAGGGGGAGTTTGACGGAGACATCTGAAGTAACTTTCAACTTGGCAGCATGATGCGCACGCATCTGACAGTACCCCTTGTGTGTTCGGTAGGGTTCGGTAACGGTCGGAGAACGTTTGGCTGGTTCGTTCTAACCGCGAGCACAGTATACCGCCGACCGACAACCCCTTCGCGTGCGACGATGTTGCGTTGCGGCTGATCAGAACCCTTTTTGTCTTCGCTGTTTTTTAATTCTGTCTCATTTCGAAAGTTGTTATCAGTGCAAGCAGTTGAAATATATCATCGGAACGTCTTGCACCTGCCGATACGTATCGACGTTTCGCGGCCAGCAGTGTGTGACAGATCGAGCCGTGTTAAGTCACAACTCGGTCTATCGTTTCGTTTCTCCCCTTACCCTGTCTTTCCCTCTCTCCCACCCGTTGAAAAAACATGGCTGAAGCCAATGGGAAGATGCGGAATAAACATGAGGACATTGATGCTGCATCCCTCGGTGCTGACATTCTCAATCCCTTCGTGCATCGTCTCGAACTCGACACAACCTATGACAAGCTCAAGGTTAGTAGCCCTCACAATTTCCTTGCATACGGAAATCACCCCGGGATCGATGTTCGCGCGGCCGACTGTTTTAACAGTCGACCGAGGGCGGGGCGGGGAATTTGATCGTAACCGAAACAAGCACCACTTTCTAATAGACAGACACCATGCCTTGATGAACTAGAAACATACCCTCCTCGTAAAAATAGAATGGTATTTTGCCCGTATGCCTCGGTGAGACTCTTTGTGCCACTGTTCCACCGCGGTACTCTGTTTCGTCAACATTTTCAGAGGGCATCGTCGACAGTTACGTAAAATTGAAATCCCCGGTGCAACATAAATTATCAGTTTTTTACTCATATTATTTAGGGTTAATGTTCAAATGACACGAAATCGGTTCGTTGCGTTCGAAAAATATATTTTGTGAAACACTTTCGTGTTGATAATAACACTGTCGATCATGAATATAGAACAGCCGGCGTATACGTCGTTTTACGTAATATTATCATTATATACACTCCTGACATTTTATAAATTTGGTTAAAAAAATATTCCAGTGAAATTTATTGCATCATTCGAAACAAGTTAATTTACCATGTAGAAATATTCCTAAAAATTTCAATATTTTCGAAATTACCGCGATTTTTGGGAGCGCGGACCAGGAAGAGTTTCCTACAATTTCGTAGGGGAAGTGATTGACTCTCGTATTAAATCAATAACTAATGCACATATAGTTCATAGTATTAAAACAATGACACAGCAAATAAAATTAATGAAAGAGAAAGTATTTATATTATCGGATGTTCAAGCGTTCACCACGTGGTTTGTAAATGACTGAACAACGATTTTATCGATCTAGATCAGTATCGCGATGTACGTTGGCGTGACGATAACGTCAAAATACTTTTTTGCTCGACACATGTGCTAATTAAGCCGTCTACACATCTGTTTTATAACTACACTGTACGTGCGAGCGCATGACTTAAACACGCCTCGAAATGCATTCTTTGAATAGAGATTCGAAAGCATGCGGATATACGTTGCTTTTATATACAATAGCGATCGCACGTATTCGTGACCGTCACAGAGATGAAGAGATCTTTTCCTCATTTTGTCACCGTTTCATTTTTTATTTAGAATCGTTTAACAAAGTAGATTTCATTTATTTTGGAAACGTTCCATGTGTTCGCAAAGTCATTGTTTGAAATTGGATATTTTAAAAGAGATAAAGAATTAAGATTTTAAACCCTCGGATGAACCATGAAGAGAGCCCTAATTTTAATTTAATTATTTTCATTTCCTAAATCTTACACTGTTCCTCTAGAAATTATAATATATGAAACTCTTTCGTTTAAAAAATTATACATTTAACTTCAGGTTAATATCCTTGTACATGTTTTGTAAGTTTGGATCACGACTGACCCAGACTCCGCTGTTCAAAGTTTAATTTACTTTCTTGAAATTATTATATTGAGTGCACCACGATGATGTAACGATGATCTGGCTACGGTGTTGGAATTTTTCAAGAATTTTTATCAATTCTGATTTATTATTTCATAAATGATAAATTTTTAAATGATAAATACTTCGATATATTTGGTTTAAATATTTGTTCAAAATATAAGAGATAGTAATCTGAATGTGCAACGTGTAACACGTGTAAATATTACAATAATTTTAACGGCATCTTTAGGTACCGTTAAATTTGATGTTTACTCCAAGTATAATTGCATGGTGCATAAGAGTAAATAGGCAAGCGTGTTTCGAAGAAACAGCGTTTATAACTTAGTCATGAACTGATAATAAAAATAACGTGATAATTTGTAGGTGAATAAGTGTTTGCGCACACATTATGCCAGAGATAAGGCCTCGTTTCGTATTTTTTTCCGAAACTGTTTCGCGGATATTCAGCTGTTAAAACTTGTTATAACATTGCATTTCACATAATATTCATTACAATCGTTCAATTCTCTGTTATTGAATTACACTTGCAATATATTAATTCCCGTTTCGTAATATCACACGTGTGGGTGATAATTTAATTAAACTGTACATGTGGGAGTAATTAACATGTTTCCAATGGTTACAAAATTTACTTTCACAAATTGCAACATACGTAATTTAATAAATCTGTGATAAAATTAATTTTCAATGGATTTCCAATTTTCAATTGGAAAAAATTTGCAGTAAAATTCATGCAGTCTTTGGACGAATTGCAATACTGGTTTTTAAGGTAAAAGGTTCGATACGGCTACGTATTTAAATTGAACTTTCTCCATACGAAGTGAACTGATCGTACCGGATCTGAAGTAACCTGAAATAAGTTTAATAAAAAAAAGGAGCACCGTTGCTTTTTAGTACAAATTTCAATAAATAAGACTTTTCTTCGAATACACGTAACCTTTCAATACCCTTTCTGTGACTATTGCAGTGGTATTACGTAACAGGAACCTGAGAGTAGGATAAGATGATATTACAATGGAAACCTGTTTCCATAGTTCCATGCAACATTGATCTTCGATAATTTTTAATAAAATAATTTGCGGTCATCTAGTCTGAAATGTAACATTTGTGTTTTCTAATTTCATTATACTCCATTTATTTACATCACTGCGAGTTTCTGTTAAATTTCATTGAATTGCAAAAAATTTCATTTTTTTACTTTATATTAATATTTAATAAATCTTGAATTTTATGTTTAATAATAACAATAAAAATTCCAGTTGCAATTATCAGTCGCCAGAGAAATATTTTTGAGTACATGGAGCATAAGAAATGATAAATTTGTTATATTTTCCTCTGGATTCTTCATTTGTCGATTACAATTAGATATTGCATCACAGTAATACGAGATGTACATATATAAAGACAATACCTATCTAAGCAATATTGAATTTCGAAGCCTGTAACTATCGTTTCGGTTGGAAAGGAAATCTCTTTAAGTATTACATACTAGTAAATCTGATGTCTGCATGTTGCATTCATGATATGCTTCTTGCATTTACAGTTGCTTGCTTAAAGTAATTTAATCCTGAAAATCAATTACCAATATTAATTTTTAAATAAACCAATAAATATCCAATCTGCATGAAGTGTTTGGAAATTAAACTTCGAGATTCTATTAGAGGAAATGCTTGTTGCATTCTTGAATAAGATTCATTCTACTTAATCAGGAAAGCAGAAATCCTTAAAGATTATAAAAGGTGCACGTATTAAGGAACAATCTACTGTTTCTTTAATGTAGCAAATTAAAAATGAAATGTGAAAATTGATACCATACATATCTTATGATTAGTTTAATCATTCTAATTAGCATAAGAAAATAAGTTGATTTTACTTTTACCATATTGATATATATTATCTACTAAAATATAATTATAGAATCTTGAATCAGTATTACAGTAATTGATATTAATCGCTTATAAAGAAGGATTTAAACTAAAATTGCACGGAAATGTTTTCAATACCACGTTGCTTTTCACTTTTTGCGTTGACCCAGTTTAATTTTCTTCAACACATTATAGAGAATAGAAAGGTCCGAAAGAACTTTCGCAATAAACAGGAACGAAAACGCTAAGAATTTCGGCTTCTTATCAACAAAGTTGGGTTAATAAAATATCGTTAAGTCGGAAAACGTGAGCGATGTAAAACGGCTAGGAAAACAATTTTCTTCAATTTTCATCAGGAGAAGAGCAAATCTTTCGCCGCGGCGAAATGTGGGTCATAAGTACGCCGAGAACCTACTCTGTGGAACGTATTCTCTACAAAGAGTTTAAAAAGGAGCAGAAAATCGTTCCGACATTCTTTTTTTCATAAAAAAAAAGAATTATATTTGATTAAAGATTATATAGATTCCTATACTCAAAATTTTAATAATAAAAGAAGTAAGAAAAAATTTCATTACGAGATTTTGAATGTTATGTTCAAAAAATTAGAAGAAGCCTGCGATAAAGTGAAACATTTTCTTAGCATAAAAGATTGGCTGTGTTCATAAAAATGAGCACGTATTTGATAAGACGTGTTATACATAACGTATGTAAGTACATATGCATATACGCTTAGAAATAGTATATAAAATGCTCGTTGTCAATGTACATAGGCTTGAAAATGCCTTCTTCTCCTTCCTCGTCCTGAAGAGCCTTGACACAATTTCTAACCGTCAGCCCAAATAGCTACAAGTTCATTAATTCACATCATAATGTTATACGCGCGAGATTAAATTCGTGATTCGTTCACAGGTTTCGTTTTATTACACGATTCGCGATTCTCAATGAACTACCTTTAAATTACATACAGGGTGGTCCATCTAACGCGACCATCTTAATTTTTCTTCTCCTTTTTTTAAAATTTAAGTTCAATATTATATTAACTATTTATAGCTATTAGCGATACTTTTGTGTTTATATTTAATTTAAATTAATATAATTTTAATTCATTGTAACAGTATTATATTTGCCAGATACTATTTGCAGATATCAGAATTTAACCCTTTGCACTATAATTGTTTTCTTAATTGTTCTCGTTCAATTCTAATTTAATTTTTATTCAGTCTATGACTCAAGCGTTTTAGGGAGAAACAATTTGGTCACGCCAGGGGTGACCTCGTAGTGCAAAGGGTTAAAAAGCAAAAGTTTTTAGAGAACCGAAAGGGTAAATTAGATTTGCAAAATTCAGCTGGATTTGAACCCGAGACCCTTAGATTGATAGTCCAGATAATAATGAAACTAATTGAAGTGGCTAGATTAGGAGGACCACCCTGTAGATATCTCGCACGGCATTGAAAAGTTCATTGTAAGTTCGTGAACGAAAGGCTTACGTATCACAGCACTCATTCTTCTGGAATACTAATTACGGTTTTAATAAACGTCTCACGCGATTAGTAATCTGTGTTTGATCTGACGAACTCGTTTTCGTGACCGTGAATGCACTTGTGGAAGGATCGTATCAAGTTTAAACAATCTGAAACCTTCCTAGGCAAACATATTTTCTCACTTTCTGTAATTGTAATATTTACAGAAAACTTATATTGTACAAAGAACTCATTTCTCATTTAATTAGTCATACTGGCAAAAAATAACGCTGACGTTAACTAATGAAATGAATTCTTGATTATGAAATGAAGATGGCAGTGATAGATTAACTTCATGGGAATTTTTAAACTGTGACAACAATAATTTACTCTAAAAATGAAGGTTGATCTTGTCATTTGAAGTATATTACACAAGAAATATTATCATTTGAAATTTTTCATTAAAGCAATTAAAATTAAATTATCAAACACAACAGAAAATAATATTTAATTAATTCTCTTAGGGAGCAATTAAATATTTAAACGTTTGAAAGTATAACATCTATTAATTGAAAGGTATCTTGTTTAAAACTTGAAATAAGATACAAGATAGCTAGAAAATATAGGTAATAGGCAGTCTTGAGCTAAACGAGTTTTTAAGGCTTCAAGATTTATTCTACAGTTTATAGTTGAAGGTACACTTCTGTAACTTTGTTATTCACTTTCTCCAATAAAACTAGCTTTTACTCCATAGATTGAGAGCGGACGCAAAGAAATAAGTGGTACAAACGATATTTTCGAGGCATTTGAAAATGATGTTCCTGTCATGTCTAACGATATTTCTAACAATCATTACATGTAAAGATTTATAGTACGATTTCCTTCGTATAATACGAGTCTCGAACAATCTAAAGTCTTATTTCAAAAAGGGGACTAGATAAAGAATATATGACTAGTGAAATATCGACTGTTCGAACAATTTCACTATTTTATTTTCATTTCTTTTATGCTGGAACATCTACATATTCGATATCAATATGGGTCTCCTAACAAAGGAAACTGGTACAAAAGGCATAGTTACAGATTTACATCTTTTCTACTTATAAATATACATTTATCTTCATCCCTTACATAGCCATTTTCCCTAAGGAAGCTTACTATGCTCAATGTTGAATAATTTCCACTGTGAATGAGCATAAACGAACCTTTAGAAATTATTATACGAATATCATACCACCTCCCATTCTTATTAGCCACGTTTTTCTTATTAGGCCACCTTTTTCTTATTAGACCGCAATCAAAGGGTTTAGAATCCAGATAACGAAAAAGATTACTCGGTCATGACCTCGATCTTGAAAGACTCCTGTGACCAGTGTTATGTAAATATGAGCGCGTAGTTGTTGTACAGGTATAAAATGAAGTTAACAGGTGAAATGAAGCCTAACGGAACAAACGAACGGTACTCGTTTCTCCTTTTTTCTTCTCTGCTCTCTCCACCATTTCCTTCTCTGCCTTTCCGTTGCTCTTCTCTTTCCATCCATCGGATACCAGCATCTCAAATCCTCTTCGTTCCTGTAACCTTGGCCCACTGAAGAAAAAAGTAGTTCCTGACCGAGAAAGTTTATTCGGTGAACCGGCGTTGAACACGGTACTATAATTTTTAAACACCTTGAGTGTGGTCATCTTTCTATGGGGTTCGATGTGCCTTCATCGACTTCAGTCGTCATCGGTAAATTTTGTTACCGGAAAAATTAGAAAACTATTTGAGAAATAGAACAATCGATTTTGACATTAGAAGTTAATCAGGACGATCCGTTTTGATATTAGAAGTGATCGAAAATTGTTACTATTTTATTTTATTCTTGGCATTTCTTAATTTGTATTTTAATAAAAAAGAAGTATTGTAAATATTCTAATTTTTCAAATTTTATAAATTCGCAGACTTTTCATTCTTGGCCTTGACATTTGACAATATCTCAGCTTAGTAAAAATTTTATAAATTGAATAAAAAATTATTAGAATCGACACACTTTTGATAGTAAAAAAGATTTATTTATTTTGGAAAAATAAAATTTTGCAAAATTTTGCAGTAGAGAAATTTTTCGAAGGCATTTTAACTAGCTGCTTAATGATTAAAAAGAAATTTTAGTAACCTAAGATTCCAGAAAAATGAACTTTAGAATTAAAGTAAATAGCGTACAATGGAAGAATGAAATTGAATTTATATGAGCAATCAAAATATAGGGTGTTGTACTCTTCTATAGAAAGCAGTGCAATCTGATCATCACACAAATGCTTTCCTGTGTAATAGAAGTACCGTTCATTGTCCGTAAAGAATCATAGATCTTGCTGATCGAGGCTTCTTTCGTCTTATCGATGAAAAAGTTTCTTTATGCACTTCAAACACCGTTAACACCACCTAAAAGCAGTGCGAAGCATTTTCAGCGTTAACCCAATAAAGAATCTTTTGAGATTCAATTTAATAGATGACCTACTTCTAATGTTTTCAAAATTTCATTTTTAATTAAGAACTTGGCTCTTATATTCTATGTATATCTATCGAAAAAATAAAGACGTAGAATGGGAGTATTTTATGATCGAGGAAAAATCGAAAATATAATATGAGTAAACAATAATTTTAAATATAAAATCAAATGTTTTTTGTGATACTTTAAATTTAGCACTCTGACCACTACAATAAAAAAGAAAAAAAAAAAATACACATCGAATTGAGTATCCTCCTCCTTTTCAAAGTCGGATAAAAATAGCCATATTTATTAGGCTGTAGCATATAAAATACTGAAACAAATTTCAAATGAATTATCATTAGGAAGAGTAAAAAATAAGCTTTTATATGATCTAAATACATTTTCAGAAAATATCTAATTAGAACTGATAAAAAATTATTTGACAAGAAAACTAGGATAAACAATTTTAAACGACGCGATCCTATTCCTTTGACTATTATTAACCTGTAAAACGTTTTAAAATAGTTCACCATTGACCATAACAATCAGGTGTACGGGATACTAAAGAGGTTGTAAACTTGACGAGCATTGTACCATTGTAGGGTTAAAGAACTTTCCGGTTTCCATGCTTCTTTTCCCCTGCGTTATAGTAACACGCCGATAGCAACTACTAAAGCGGAAATACTTGATGTTTCAGACCGCATTCCTGACGGTAGCTCTTCTACCATTCAGGTTGGCTGCAATCACGGCTCTGGTGATCATGGCCTGGCTTTTAGCTTGTCTAGGTCTCCTAGGACTGTCCGAGGAAGATCTACGTCGAGCTCCTTTGACCGGATGGAGACGGTATGAATCAAGCCGCAATTATGTTTCTTATCTTTCACATTTTATTATAGCATTTCCTTGTTTTTGAAGCTTCGAGCTGCAATTGGTACCCTGTCACTCCATTATAAGTATCCAATATTTTTTGTAAATCTCAGCTTTGCGAGATACTTATAATTTTAAATTGAGATATCAAAAAAGTCCCCAAATTTGTTTTCTAAATTTTATAAGGCAATAATAATTTCTGATATTTTTGTGGTACTTCTTTGAATGCTAATAGTGGCCTCAGTTTTTAAAGAGAAGTTAAGAAATTTAAAATGAATGATGCATTTTTAATTTGGTGTAAATTAGTGTTATAGAATGCACACAAACTCATTTCATATAAAATATATAAAATTAGAGGTATCCATAATGGAGTAACAGGGTACATTACTGCCCTCTTTAACTAAAATATCCTATTTACCATTCTCATTATTTTTTAAAATACTTTGAAATATTTGGAATCGTAAGCAAAGTTGAAATGTACTACTTGGTTCTGTAGCAATCTAAAAATAGTTTAATTTATTTTTCCTATCTGGTTGTTGGATCATTTTATCATTTATCAAATGTTACTTGGGATAATTGAACTAAGGAGGGCAGAGTAAAAGCATGTATCTTTTGGCTGTTTATTTCCATTAAACGTTTTCACTCAAATTTTTTGTTTGCTTTGAAATAATGTGTACTATGCTCGTTTCTATTAATTACGCTTTTACTTTTCGCTTGTCTTGATGGTTGCACTTTAACTTTCATTTATCCCGATTCTTACATCGCATTCACAATTCATTCACGTTGAATCTAACTAAGCATGACATTTGTACCATCCAGTTTAGAATACGTTCATGTGTCATACGTTAGTACTTGGAAAAGAGAATAATAGAAAGTACGTAATTCGATTTAGTTTGATGCCGGTTTGTAATACGAAGCAGTGGGAGCAATATATGTTATTGAACATTTAGCTATGAAATTGTAGGTTTTTAATTTGAAATCATTGTTTTTATTGTTTAATTTTAAATATGTTTATACCCCGTTTATTTATATGCAATTATAATTGATCTCTGATTAAATAATATTTTTTTAAATTTGTAAATATATTTTTAATTTGTTGATTGTTAATTGAAGTCTTTAAATATTAAATTTAGGATTTAGAATATTAGAGTAGGCATTAGTTTCAAAATAATTCTTTAGCAATTTTCTAAATGTATTTTCGAATGTTTATAAATAGATAAACATTTGGATGCCTAAAATTAATTAAACGTCACACTTCTTATAAAGACACTTCTCCATAACATTCGGAGAGAGGCATAAAGAATATTTCTCCCAGAGATACATTGTAGTCGGAGCAAAGCGGGGTAAATAAATTGCGGAAATCCGCTGAAGAATTTTATTTCATGAACGCATACTTGAAACGATTGAAGATGTCGGAGGGGGAGGGCGTGAATGACCGCCGCGAAGAAACGAGCGAGGATAGGATAAAAAGAATAAGTAACAGGAGAAAGTATGCATCAGACAAGTAGCTTAGGTCTGGCTTTGTATGGACGTCGAATCGATGGAATTCTTCGTTCGTGCCGATCTTTTCACTTGTCACGCGTTCATAATTTTAACTCATAATTTCTAATCACGATGCAAATGCAACAAGTGCACTTGCAGCCTGTTCGAGTTCCAATGCTACGTATTTACTGTCTTTCTAAAATTTTGAGATTATTATTACTTTGTACGATGACAGTAAAATTATGCTTCCTTAATTAGTTTTTGAGAATATTTGAAAGTATTGCAATATATAATGTAATTATTTTGAATAAATAGAAAAATTAAATTTTTCCTAATAATTAGTAACTGATTAAATGAATCAAAATTAAATCTCCAAGTAAATATCATATTAATGACATTAAAATAAAATAAAAAATAGAAACATTTTTTTTTCCTATTTATAATTTCATTCACATTGGAACTTGAATAAACTGTATAACTTCAATCATGCTTTCAGCAATATTTCTAATTTTCTTCATGTTTCTTTTAATAATTTCGCATATTGCGCAAATTTATTGAAAATCAACACAAGTCATTCGATTAAATTTTATTGCAATTGAAATAATAACTCCTGCAGTCATAATGAGACCCATAATTAATTAAATTCGACAATGTAATATCGATTAATGATTAAACAAATAAATCATTTATTTATTATTAAGGAAGATTATTCAGTCGATAAATTTAAATTGAAATGTGTGTCAGAACTTTCGTTGACACTTTCACGTCTGAGGATCGTCCAGAATAGTAAAATGTGTCGAAAGTACGGTTTCAAAAGAAGGAATTGTTATGGAAAACAAATATTAGTCTGCATGAGATGGCGTAGACGCTTTTCGCCTAGAATTGCTTCTATTTCGCACTTGTACCGTTAGTTGTTTAGCATTCATTATTAACTAAAAATCTAATGCTTCGTGCACGACGTATTTTCAATTATTGAGTATATAAATAAATCAAATATAAACAACGAGATATTAAACGAATAGAATAATTCAACTTATCAATTAAATTATTTCTTATTTCTATTTTCAATATCATTTTAAAAATACTTTTTTTCTAATCCACCCTAAAATTTTACGCGTTATCACACTTCACTTGGAATTATTTATAAATATCTAATAGTTTTAGAAATGTTAAAGAATAGTACTTATCATTGGTATAATCGTAGTCTTCACTAGTATAATTACACACAACTGACTTTGAAAAGTATCGAAAAAGGGTGAATACTAAATAGCGAATAAAAAGTGTCTTTTTAAACTTGACTCTATACAGCAAAATTTTCCACGATTGTTTGCTTTATTTATGTAATAATCGATAAAAGTGGTTCTTTAGATCTAACTGCTACGTGGATCTATGTAGTTTCTAATAAATTATTCAGTAGCATGACCTTAGATTGAGTATAGTTCTGGAAGGGGTAGTTTCGGTTTCGGTATAAGCAAACTGTAATAACGCGTAGAATAACGTTATTTGACTATTTGACAATTTCTCTTTGTTTATTTACTTGGAAAAATTAGTGGCATGTTTTTAAACCCTTATCTACCAAGATTTTCTATATTCCTCTCAAATATTTGGAAATTTCTTATTATGTAGAAAAGCATCTCAATAAAATCAATGCATGTCTCGTCAAATTAATATTTTGAATGTTTAATGCAACGACCGCTGTTTATCATTTTTTATAATTTTAAAAATTATGTCTTTTTATTTAAATAGTTGCTTTGTTGCTGTATTATTTTTATTATTTATTTGAAGAAAATTTTGTTTAGTTACTGCCGAAGTAGAATCTTGATTACTAGATCAAAATTTAAAACAACATCCAATTTCATATTTTCATATCGTATAAAATTTTGTATAGCCATTGTTCAAATAATTTTCAGTCGACAAATAATGTTTAATTAAACATAACATCAAATATATATATTTTGCAGTGTAAACATTCGTGTAAACAAGATTCTACTGATAATTGCAATATTCTTGATTAATTATATACGAGGTGTTCTACGTAATTGGAGCAATTGGTTACATCTCTTTTCTGATTGTAATCAGAAAAAGATGAATAGTTCAAAGAGATCTACATTTTCAGAATCGTATTTTTTTTACAAGTGTAATGATGCACCTCTATTTCATAGTTGCATTATTCTTCAGTAAAATTTAAATAAATAATAAATTAGTGATAAGAAAAGTAGTTGATTTAACATATATCAATTATATAAAAATGATTAAATTACTATGCTAATTTATTTGTTACCTTTTATTTATTTACATTGCAAATTTATCTTCAATTTAAAACCAGATATACATTTAACATTGATTGTTCTATTATTAATAGAAATATTTATTTCAAACATATTATTAACTAATCATTTCACATCTATTTTATTCTAATGATTTGAGAAGATATAATTTACACAAAAAATAACATATACTTATAAAAAATATATGATTCTGAAAATGTACGTAGTTCTATTTGAATCATTTAAATGCAGTTCTCTTTTTCCTGTAAATGCGATCAGAAGAGATATGTCTTGTTCTACTTGCATACGAAAAGATACGAAAGACAATTGCACATATACCAAACATATACTTACAAAAGGTTCCATTCAACTGGTTGAAAAATAAAACAAAATTAAAAAAAAATAATAATAATAAAAAAAAAAAAAACAGAGACATGCGAATTGTGATCTGCTGGGTGATGCGAGCGTTGTTCATCTGCGGGGGATTTCACCATCTGAAGGTCAAAGGTCGTAAAGCGGAAACAAAGGATGCCCCCGTGTTAGCCCTAGCCCCGCATTCAAGCTTCTTCGATGCACTTCCGGTCGTTTACCTCGGCGGACCGAGCATCGTCGCGAAGGCGGAGATCGGGCGCATTCCTTTTTTCGGAAGTAGGTCTCCCACTTTTGCTCTGTCAAGCCATCAACAGAGTCGTCGTTCCATCATTCAAAATCGTTCGACATGTAAAACTAATTAACTGGGAGAAGAAAGTTTAGTTTCAAATTTAGATACTTTCTTTTTGCATCGTATAAAAATAATGACAAGTCTTTGTGCCTTTAATCGATTCGAAGATTAAGACCTGTTAGATTGCTTTTCTAACAAATTTTCTATTAATCATAGAAGAAACTGTCATAAGTTAGCGAGAATATCTTGTAAGTATATACATACATGAGCATTTTCGTGATTTCAGTAGGTCTTATTGCCCGGAATTTCATGTCCTAGTCATCGGTTTTGTGTATCAATAAGAAGTAAACACCATCTGAAAAAAGTGTGTCAGAAAAAGATGTTTTCAAGCCCATATTGGACATAATAACAAATAAAAAATATCTATACTTGCGTGCTGGAAAAGGTTCCTTTTTATTTATTTTCGATCCAAAAATATTATTTATTCCTAAATACTGGAAATCTGAATTTATCTTTCAAAATATCATGAGCAGAGTATCTCTTAGGATAAATGGTAATTATAAACTGGTCCATCGAAGTACATCCAATACCTGAAACAAAAAATTAATATATTAGAAAAATAATATCTAAAAAAAAGAGTATAATAAAATAAAATTTTAAAAATCATAATGAAAATGAATTTGAAATTAAATTAAAACTTTAAGTAATTAGCAAAGACTCTGCTCGATTATGATAGTTCAATTTTTAAAAATACTAAATTATGAAAAGAATTGATATAAAATACAATAAGTATATTGGACTTAATCATTTTCCATAATTTTATATTAATAATTCGGATTATTTTAACGATCCTCTAATTACCTACGAACCTTACGAAACGATGGAACGCGGCTCTGCCTTCATTCCACACAAATGAAATTCCATACATAGTAATTTTTCAATAAATAGAAGCATCTTCTTTTATATCATTATCTTATATTATTACTTGTTTCATAAAGAAGGAAAATTAAAAATTCATAAACACAAATGTCATAATTAACACATCAATTATAATTATATCAATCATATAATTCTGTAAACAGGAAAAGAATATAAAATAATTATTACTCAATTGATTATTAAATACATGTTATCGATAATTGTGCAAATATACATATATGTTATTATCTTATTCAATATGTGTCTATCAGTGATTAAAACAAAAAGAAAAAAGCACATAACTCTATAATGTGGAATAATATACATACATATACACGTATAAAAGAAGAATATTTAGAATAAGCTAACAGAAAATGTATGTATGCGGTGAATGGGAAGACCTATATTGCTACTAACAAAGTCTGGAATAGTGGGCATACATATGCTACTAACTGACACTATTAATGTTCTGGATCACAGTTGGAGGAGCACGTTATTTATTATTTCGAGGTTCAAAGGAACGCTCGCTTTTATTTATTTTGTTTAACGCTTAACGATGCCATCAATCGCTTCGTATATTTCTTTCTATCTCTCTCTTAAATTCTTTCTAAAGTCTATTTTTTCTCTTTCTCTTTTTTTTCGTTTTATCACTTTAACATAATCGAGAACTTTGTGTCGCGATAAAGTCACATTATAAATAAATTGTATTTTTAATATGAAAACAAGGAGATGTCGAAATTGTCGGGTACTCGTAGAGTAACGAACTCATAGCTGCATAAACTTTCTCGTTGCAATGTCACTTGGCTGCGAAGCAGTAAAGTTTCACTCTTGTGCAAATAAACCGGTGGTGGAGTTTTCTACCATACGGGTGATGAAGTTTTATGCATCGTCGAGGAGACTTCGTAAACAAAACCATCAACTCTAATAGAGTGCTACAGAATTTAATCGGGCACTTTTATTTCTTTGATAAATTATTTTCTTGAATGTTCATACTTCAACACGTTGATTACTACGGAGATCATTGGTGAACGTTTTAAATTTAATAAACAAACAAAAATTTCAATAATATAAAATATTATAGTAAATTGAAAGCTGTAGCATTCTATTTGTTAAAGGTACTTTCCTGTTACGTCAATCCAAAAATATAATTGATTCTCAGAATTTTATTCAAAAAATACTGAACGTCATAGAGTGAAATCATTGAGGATAATCAGAACATTTTTCGATGCTGACTGTCATTACGATAAAAAAAAGTTACTTATCTGCGGCTAAGTGGTGGTAGAATTATTTGAAATAAGAAATTAAGAGAATTTGTTTCTACTCTTTGTTAATCATAGGGGTGGTTAAGAATTTTTGTAATTTGACGATAAACGGTATAATAAAAAATTAGTCAAAAAATTGTAATATATGGGGAATCGCGTTCGAGGCTTAACGTTTATATCGCGACAAATTATTTCGTGTAGAATAAAATGCAGAACGCGTTAATGTAATTGGGATGCGTTAACCTGCAGCAAGATAGTGCCCTGGCTGTGCTTTTTTGGCCGGTTGACATACCAGGCAGGAGGAATGAGAATCATTGTACGTGGAAGACAAGCAACCAGGGCTGAGGCGCCGATCTTGGTGGTTGCACCCCATTCAACCTTCATGGACGGTGGGATTGTCTACATAACTGGCTTTCCTTCCATCATCGTAAGACGAGAATCGGGACTGAATCCGTTCATCGGAAGTATGTGATAATTATTGAAAGATTCCGCATTCGTTTTACCGATTAAATTATCCCGATAAATATTAATTGCTCATATCACTTCGGCTGAAATAACATTTTTTTAAATCGATGACAGTAGGTAGGAATACTTGAGAAATATTTAGGGACGTAGGAGTCTAAGGTTTTCAAGTGTAAACAGAATCTCTTTGAATACTGATTTCAATGACCTGATTGAAAATCTCAAGAGTTGGGCAAAAATTTGATTAATTAATCCTTGAACAGCGGAGTCAGGATTAATCGAGATCCAAATTTATAAAACATATACGAAGCATATTAACGAAGGATTTTATATTATATTAAAAGAATAATTTTTAAAGAAACAATATACAATTTAGAAACTTAAAATAATATTAAATGCAAAATTAAATTAAAATTGGAACTCTCTCCATGGTCCGCCGTTCGAGGATTAAAGGTGCCTGATTTATAATAAACACGAAGTAAATTATTTAGATTGACTTTCTGCATTAATAAACATTTTAATGACTCATTAGTGCATGCAAATAAGTTACCAGTAATTTGAATAAATAGCACTTTGGTATAATCTTGTCAACATTACTTGTTGAGAAGAATTATTATGAAATAGGTATAACGAAAATGAGTATGAAAGATCAATGAAATAACAAGTAAATGTTTGAATAATTATTTGCCAAAGGATTATCCCATTCACCACGATACATACATGTGTGTATTTATTTACCACATTTTTATTCATCGATATAACGTGTATATTTCTCAATTACATATAAGACAAAGATATATTAAAAAGAAAAGAAGGAGAATTCTATTTAACTTTATTCAAATTGATATCAATTTAGACGTGATCTAAGTAGAGATTCATATTAACTAGATTAAAAGACGTTATATATAAGTTACATAGTAAAAATTAATTTCATCTAAGAGTTCGTCATTTCAATTTGATATATATATTTGCATTTTTTTTTTTATACTACGCTCACAGAATTAATCAACTATACACAACCGGTCTATGTTTGGAGAGAAGATCCGAATTCACGGCAAAATACCATCAAGGAAATTATTGAAAGGGCTACATCGAAAGAGGATTGGCCACAGGTATTGTTGAAATACAATTTTTAATTCCATATGAGAATGAAAAATAAATTTGTAAAATGAATTACTACCTTTCTTAAATGTAAGAAACAATTTCAAATTGTATCGATAATTTTCGATAAGACTGACGCAACTAGATTCTATTTTTCAGCGATATTAAACTCGAGAAGTAATTATTTTTAGCATGTCGATTTCTATCAGCATATGTTTGATTCAATCGTTCTTCATAATTCATCGCATAAAAAATTTCAAAATGATTTATTTATAAATTGTTTACCTGTCGAATTTCGTCACCCCTATAGCAAATGAACAATTTTTATTTAAGGAGTCTTCTCAGTGTGATGGTTGAAAAATGAAACGATTTTTGAGAATTTTTTTAATAAAAAAATTTTGAAACCTTTTGGAACCTTACACTGGGAAGATATTTGTACAGTACATATCTTCTTGTTTTTAATATACTAATAAATCGGTAATTTCTTTTCTGCAGGTTATGATCTTCCCGGAAGGTACATGCACCAATCGATCGTGCCTAATTACTTTCAAATCAGGTGCATTTTACCCTGGTGTCCCCGTTCAACCCGTTTGCATCAGGTATCCCAATAAATTGGACACGGTAACATGGACATGGGAAGGTCCTGGAGCGTAAGTATTCTTAAGTCTTCATCGATTTTAATGAATCAAAGCTGATAAGAAACTTTATCAAATCGATAAACAAATATACGTTTTCATCAAATATTTTCTCCCTTCAGGTGATTGAAAGTATATTTTAATTCGGCTGAATTACAGTTTCTAAACGAATTGAAAAATATTATGATTTTAGATTGAAGTTACTATGGCTAACGTTGACTCAACTGAATAGCAGTTGTGAAATAGAGTTTCTCCCTGTGTACAAGCCGAGCGAAGCTGAAAAAACAGATCCCAAGCTTTATGCAAACAACGTGCGACGTCTTATGGCAGAGTGAGTACATTTCATTAGACATAGATATGTAAAATTGAAATTAACTTCTCCAATTTATTTTCAATTTTCTACACGAGTTAATCCCCCATATGAGTAATTCACAGGCCAAGTTGATTAACTTCATTTTTTGAATTTTTTAAAATTTTAGTACCAAAGCATTGGATTGTTAAATTTTAATATTGTATCAATTTCTCTAATTTTTTTTTACATGGAATTAATCGATTTGACAAATGAGCTAAAATGATCATAACTCCAAATGTTCATTATCCGATGGTTAATAATGTACGTATTTTTTAGGGCACTACAGATTCCTGTATCAGACTACACATACGACGACTGTAGAATTATTACTAAAGCTCATCAATTGCACATACCACATGCGTCCACTATAGTAGAAGCCCATAAGCTTCGTAATAAACTCGGGTACATATGCAACAAAAAAAGAGAACTATGAAATGAATATTATATAAAATAGAAATTAATATAATATAAAATTTCTTCTCTTTTTTTTTAATAGCTTAGTTACAGCAAAGACGGAAGAAGAATTAGTTCAAAAGAAGACAGAAAGATTTAGCGAAGAAATGAACTTGCACGAATTTGCGCAAATCCTTAGAATAGATGAAAAGGAACCTGCTACGCAACAACTCTTCCGAATACATGACAAAGTTTGTATTATTCCGTTTGACTTATCAGTGAATGTTGCATTTCTTATTATAAAATGACAAGTTAGATACTGTCTTGTTATCCATAGAATGATTAATACGTTGAATGCTAGGGGGGTCACCGGTGAGTGGCACCGCAAATTAAGATATATTGGAATGATTAAGAGGAAACAATAGAGAAATGTTGCTTCGAATAGTATTACTACTATATTGATAATTTAAAATAACTTGAAATTTGAAAATTAACTACTTATTTTTATTATTAATAATTAGAGTTTTGGTACCCCATACAAATGGAACAAGTTATAATTTTAAAATGGTAAATGATAAAAAAAATTACATGGCGTCGAATAGAGTGTCACACGATCCATGCGTCGGTACCGGAAGTGGAAGCGTTTCAAAGATTTCAACGTCAACTACATTTTTTAAACGGCGTTGTGTACTTTGTTATACATCAATTGAAAGGTTTTTTTATTCCCTACGAGAAATTATTAAGGTACTTCGGCCGAAAACTCTTCGATTCAAAAGATATTTTAGGGAGAGACAGGGAGAGACTAATGGTCTCTCCCTAAGATATCTTTTGAACTAATGAATTTTCGACCCAAGTACCTTAATACTTTTTTATAGAGAAGAAAAAGACGCTTCGATTGATGTATAACATAGTATAAAATTCCATTTTCAAAAATTTCATTGGAATTGTTTATTAGAATTCAATGACTTCAAATATAATATTTTAAAGAATAATACGTAGCTTCATACATGAATCACATTATACACATTTATTGTATTCAGAAAAAAAAAGAATCCTAAATATTTTCGAACTTTCTGACGTAGTTGCAGGAATGACCACTTAAAGGAAAAATTCGATAGCATTGTAATAGGTACAAGATTTATATTATAAGTCCATGTTATTTCAAGGAAGATAAATTTAAAATTAAAATGACACTCTTTGTGCACGATATTTCATGATGTTACAAAAATCTCTCATCAAATTGTAAAAAAAGTAAATATGATTTTCATATTACGAAAATATTTTCTTCTTACAAAAAAAATTATAATAATATAAATGTCAAAATATCAGTAACTATGAATCTGTATAATTACTGTGTGTACAATAATTTTTTTTTTTTTAATATTTCATCTGTTATAAATCTTTCAATTATTCCAGCAAGCGAAGGGTATAATAGATTTCGAAGAGTATTTATTCATAGTATTAGCCACAGCAAAGGCAAATTCTGAACTAGAAAAAGTCGAAACAGCGTTTGAAGTAAGTACAAATTAATTAATTTTACTAATAACTAGGATTTTTATTTGTGATAACATTACCAAAAATATGAAGTATCTAGCACTGCTTAATTTTAATATAAGAACAATATCGTTCATCTTAGCCCATACCTAGTTACACCAATGCACATGATCATTTATCGCATCCATTAATTATGAATTTAATTACAGGTATGTGGCACAAAATCATTGTCCTGCCTGAATAAAATGGAACTGCGAAAGGCTTTGAAACTAGCATTAAGTTTACCAGAGGAAGAATCGGACAAAATCTTTCAGAATGCTAAAATTGATTCTGCTGATACGACAGTAAATTTCGGTAAGCATTTTCTAAGCTTCGCTTATTCGATAATAACTATTACTTAGTTTCTATACATTCGTAATTATTTTCAACAGAATTCGTGCTTGCCGCGCTAGCAGCGCGAGCAGAATTGGCACATATATTCGTTGGGAACACCGAAACGAGGAAAAAAAATATTTGAGAATATTTAATCGACTCGTTCCGTGCTCATCGAAGATGCAGGACACATCGCGTTTGCAGCAGACCGCTTTTAAATCAGGCATGCGCCAGTCCTGTATAACTTTGCTCCTCTCTTGCTGATATTACCCTTTCAACGAATAGATAGCCATTTTCTTTTTTTTTTTAGTATTATTATCGTTGACGAAGCAAGAAGTACCGTCTAAGGAAATAAAAAAAAAAAAAAAAAGGAACGAGAAGATCGAATAGTAATATTTAAGAATTTCATTGAATGATTAAAGAAGGGTCTGGATAACGTAGATAAATTTCTTCGCTTCTAGAAGAATTTTTTCGTACGACTAAAGTCATCTCTCAAAATAGAAAAAAAAAAGATGTATTTATTATTTAACAAACATTTTTACCATCTTTTTTTATTTACCACTTTAACTGATAAGAATCTAAGTTTTTATATTCTGTTATTTTGATCGTAGTTAATACGAATGTAGATAAAAACTTGATCTTTCTTTCTTCTTTTATTCGTTACGCATTGTTCATATGCATTCGATAATTGTGATATAGTTTCTCATTATTTCGAATACTTAGTGGTTAAATAAAAAGTGAAATCTCACGTTTATTTTGAAATATATTTGTGTTCTTACTCGCTTAGAGATTTTTCTCTTCAACAAAATGTCACATTCATGTTCAGAATCATGTAAATAGTTATTACACCGAAGGTTTCTTAGACTTAAGTGTGCAAGCTTCATCGTGTAAAATTTACACATCATGGCAGATGGATTGTCTATGCAAAATAAATATTCTTAGAGCGTTAGAATTATTATAGATTGCTCAGGGTATCGATGAATTCATGGCTATTGAGTGTTACGTGAGTTGTAATAAATAAGACGTGGTGAGCGGTACACCAGTCACAAAACTTACCTAAGTTTCTGATATGTCTAATGAAACCAACATGTTTAGAACAAAAAGGCATTTAGAATAAATATATTATAAAATTTATTCTTTGCACGGTAATAATATATACTACAATATTTAATATTTAATAAACATTAATGCATATACATGTGTACACGTATATATGTATATGTATATGTAAAATAATGATACAGTGGTCATGAATTATCATTGTATATACGCATACATTATATACATGTATTGTATATGTATATACGAGAAACATGTAATTGTATATATATATATATATATAGATACAATAAAATATTCTTACAAGATATGAATTATTTTAAATAAATTTGATTGCTTCTTACCATTCGTTTACAGCTAAAAAGAAACCTACTGATTTATGTTAGGATTGATTTAAGTACAAATGTACAGATATACGTTAGCTACAACAAATCTATGGTATCACACGTAATAAAAATAAAGACTATGTTACTTCAAATATCAAATAGTAATACAAAAAATGAAACGATCTTTTAAAGACGTCAACGCTTGATAATCACAACCGATTTCTTAAACTGTTAATGTACCTATAAGATACTCTTATGTAATTTTAAAATATAGTAAATATTATTAAATCCTTGTTAACATTATTTTTAAAATCGTAATTGCATTATGGCAGGATATATTTCGAATTTTTTGTTTATTTGTAAGAGCACGAGATGACGTATACGCAGTATGAAAACTATCTATAACACAGTAAGCAATGAGATTCATTTTAATAAATATATTGCAGTTTGATATAATATAAAGTAACAAACTATAATAACATTTCTCTTTAAACAAGTAATCTCGTACAGAGCTATATAACTATTTTAATACACGATGTTATACTTAATTGTGCATTCGAAAGCCAAAATTAAAACGTTATTTATTGACTCTTTTTCCTAAATTTGTTATCCTTCTAATGGATTGAATTTTATAATTCTCATGATTTAAAATTGCATCTTAAAAGGCACACCATTATAGTGATGTTAATGATTCTTTAGTAATATTCAACTATAAAATTATACCGCGATTTTTTTTTTTAAACAATGCGTAAAATTATATTCCGATTCATATAAATTTTGTGCTTTATTTGTACTTGTAATTGTATAAGTACAAAAGGTCTTAAAATAAGGAAATTATAGAAAGAAAAAATTTTATAAAGAATAGGCAGAAACATTTGTCCCTATTAATAAAACAAAGATTTATCTTACTTTTTTCGAAAAATACTAGTCATACTAGGCGAGCTAGTTTTCTGTTGAAATATTTTGCTCACTCTTTGCCTCATATCTTCTACACCTTGCCCTACATTTACTGTAGCCATTGACAATGAAAGCCCGGAACTCATTGATAATGACCTAAAGAATAAGAAATAATTTTTATAAAATTGTTGAAGCAGTAACAAAAAATATACGCTATAAAATATGACAAAATAACAGCATGGTTTGAAGGAATACATATGTTGGAATAAAAAGAATTCTATTAATATTAAGGTCATTCCTTCATAAAACTAATTGTTTGAATATTTATTGAAACAAATATTGCAATTTAAAATGTTTTATTATATTTAGTTTCTTCTAAATAGATACTAATTATAATTTGAAGATCATAATATTGCACATCGTGTAGTACGTTTGGGTTAAGTATAATATTGTACGATGATGATTATTATATTTACCTTTCCATTGGTTTTGATAAATCCTGTCGAGATTCAGCTTCTCTTAACAACGATCGTACAGCTTCTTTTTGTTGTGGTAAATACTGATTAACTAATTGCTCAAGACATTTTAATCCTGGTACCAACATACCAGAAACACATTGATTGCTAAGTGGACAGTAAACCAATACAGAATATGCTTCAACCAAAGCATTAATAAGATCAATTTTACGACCTTGTTGTAATGCCGATGAAGTGATGCCAACTAACTGTGCAGCAATAACTACGTAAAAATGAATAATCTCGTTTTATCATAAATTACACTAAAACTGAAAATACAAATTTGATTGAACCTCTTACCGTCTTCTATATAATTTTGAGGACAATTAGGGGCAATAAATGCTAATGTCGAAACCAACGGAAGTGCTAAGGTTGGTGGGACACCCTGAGGTTCTTTAGCAATAGTTTCTAAAGTTAAACGTGCTTTATCGCGTACTTCTCTAACCTTGCACTCCGTTATCAAACGACCAAGGGAAGGAATTGCAGCAGATCGAACAGTTCTAAAAATAAAGTACTGTTACAAATGTGTACATAAGTTCATTAATAAAAATCTGTGAAGTTTATAAAGACTAATATGGTTACTAATTCAAAATAAAATATTTACAAATGTATCTTACACATCGGAATCACTAACGAGTGTTACAATTGCAGGAACTACCTTCGCGCTTGCTAACCTATCGGAAACATGAGCTATTACACAACCAAATAGTGTTGCAGTTGCACATCTTACAATAGGTCTTTGGTGCACTACTCCTATAAAAAAATGGAGGAGAATTACTAAACATCTAATAAAAATAGAAAATTCTACGTAAAATGTCAGTGAGACTAACCATCCCATAAACCACTAAGGACATACTCTTGCATATGCTCTTGGGAGCATAATATAATTATTGCAATTTGTAAACTAGTAATACTGGTTCCACTCATAGATAAAGCAACAAGGAACTGTTTTAAAGAGTTAGAAACCTTGGTACCGTTTAAAGTGGACAATATAATTAAATATGCTGGAATTAATGTTAAACTCATATTCTTTTTATCTGTTGATAATGTCGTTAATTGCTGTTCAAGTTCAGCTACCTCAGATGCAAATATTGGTTGGATCTAAAGAAAAAAAAAAATATCAGCCATAATTTCTACACAAAATATAAGGTTTATTAAAATATTGAAATTACCCGAGTTTCCGTAATATATTGTCCAAATCCCAAACACAGAGAATGAATATACGTAAGAAGAGCATTTAAAATGGATTCTTGTAAAATATCAATGGATTTTACCATTGTCAAAATTTCCACAACTCTGAAAAATATCAATTGTAAGTATTCGATAGTAACGAATAAAAATATAAAAAAGAAGTATCTGTTAATATACAATTTATTAGTGAACCATTCCAATTCTGGCCAGGTATCATTTTCCCACGTGTTCGCAAAAAACGTGTTTAAAAGAGCTCCTATATTTGTATCTCCATCATAAAATACTTTTGGATTTACGATATTGGAATGGTACAAGTTCAGGAACTCATCCGCTGCATCATAATTAAAATGAATTTATGATCATTTATAATACTTATATGCATTCAGATTTATTATACTTACGCAGGTCAGATGATATTCCATGATCAATATAAGTTTTAACGATCTCGGTATCTGCTACGCAAATAACTGTATGGGGAAGTAAATACTGTAATACCGCAATTGATGAAACAATTCTTCCTTCATCGATATGATCTTTATTAGGTGAGTGTTGAGAATGTCCAAGTTTTAAATGATTCTTTATTTTGGACGTTATACGCGGTAACAAATGCGTCTGCAATCTTTTCAGAGAGAGCGCCCATTGAGCTAAAATCGGTAAAAGTATAGAAGATGCGACTTCAACCACAATAGGCGATATATCGTGAAGTGCTGTTAATGCTAATTCTTCGCACTGTAAAAATAATAATTATTAAAATAATACACCCAGATTTCTGTTACCAAAATTTATGTAATTCTAATTTATTATGTACCTGAAAATATTTATCAGGATCATCCATTAAAGCTATAAGCAATGCAAGACTCCTTACTACACTAGCTCTGACTGTAGGATCTTTATCTTCGAGTAACATTTGTTGCAACATGGAAAGCATTAAAGAGTTCCTTATGCCAACTGACATGTATGGAGTTAATACGGAACAACACTCAACAGCTAGCAATCTTTTCTCAGGATACTTGTGTTGACTCTGTTCCCAACAGATAGTCAATATTTCTTCACCTTCCATTGGTTCATCTTCAAGTTTAGCCATTGCAACGAAACCTAAAAATAAAATATGTAAGTAAAAAAAAAAAAGTAATAATTTACTTCATTACGTATAATGATTTGTATTAACCAGCTAATATTAATTGTCTCTCATCCTCCTGCGGCCTCTTCTTTAGACTGAACAAAAGTTGTAGTAATTTTTCTCTTTCTGCAGAATCACTATGTAGTCGAATTGCACTTAATATTAATGGTATCACTTCTTCGCGTCTATTCAAAATAATATTGGGTACGATGCGAGGTAATGTTTGTGATAGAATTTGAACAAGAGTGTCGCGCGTAACTCCATTTTTGAAAAGTTCTTCAGTGGTAGAAATGATAGAACTTGGTATATTTACTAAACAATGTGCTATTACCTCCATCTTGAATTTCAATGGTAGATTTCTGTGAATAAAATATTAATATATAAAACATTAAATTTCCACGTAAAATGCTATTTATGAAAATATACCGTGATGGAGGATTTGGAAGTATCGATGACCCTTCTGTCACGTCTACCCTGGGTAACTGAATTCTCGTCCACTCTTTGTCACCAGGATCTGTTTCACCAAGACTAACAACAACAGAAACGCTATCATCTTCTTCTGGTTCTTGAGTAACAGTGGACGTATCGCGAGCTGGTGTTTCAAGGAGTTCAAATTTATCTGGAGTTGTAGAACTCGAATTTAACGTTTGTATGGTTCCACTGCTATCTTGCTACAAAGAAAAAAGTATACATCAGTTATAAAAATTTAAGTAACGTTCATGAATATTTGTTATTCATTATACCTTAGTTGGATTTTGAGATAAGCTTCCACTTGTAGCAATAATTTGTTGTAAGTCTAATTTTTCCTGTTCTAACAATATAGTCTGTTGTTTAAGTTCTTCCACTTTGTTTACCATTTCTTTAAATTCATCTTTATCTGTTTCAGATTCTATCTCGCAAAAATCCGTTTGCACACCAATGCTCACAGAAGGTGGTTTATCATACCCATTAGCTCTCATATATTCTCTATAAATTTGTATTAATTCTGCAGGTTTTGAAATATTCAATCCTACATCTTGCCAATCTTCGAAATCTTGATTTTCATTCTCATCGCTAAATGTAATTGATGTTAATTTATAAGAACGTGCTAATAAATATTCGTTAATAAGAAAGTTTAGAGCTCTTTGTTCATGGGGTTTTATGGGTGGTTTGCTAACTACCTGCTTATCAGAACCTTTGTCAGATGTGGCTGCTTCAGATTCTGAAATGTTTGGAAGAATAATATAAAATACTATAAATTTGTATTTAGCAGCTTTCATTAGTCAAGATGAAAAAACCTGTTACTACAGTGAGATTCGCACGAAGAGCAGAAATACTTTCTCTTGCCTTCCTTAGTTCAAACTCTAAAATTGCTACTCTTTCATCAACGCCTCCACCATCTTCTGAATATCTGGTCATATCCAAAGAATCTAAAGTAGCCTGACTAGAAGACCTAGCTAATAAGTTAAAATACAAATATTAAATTATATTATTCTTACTACTTTTGATATTCAAAAATGTAAAAAAACATGAAAGATAAGAATTCAGACAAGAATATATCTAAATGTTTCTTCTTATAAAGTTAACAAATTATTATACGAATAAAAATAAATAACTCTAATAATATTATACATACGCATAGGAGTATATGGTTCTGGTTTAATATTATGAGTCTCAAAATGATTTGGGTTTGAGAAAAAATCTCTTAAAATAGGCAACTCTTTTCCAGCTTCGCATAGTTCCGCGTGTAATTCCAAGGCCGTTAATAACAGTTTTTCATTTAACAGTTTAATGGCAATCTCTTCATAAGAGATCAATGATTTTGTGACTGGACATCCTAAAATTATATAAAAATTACATGTTATAACAATTCTTGGAAGACGATATATCATTCATAATTAATACATAAGATTTAGTTCGATTTAACTACCGATGACGTGTATACATTTGTCGAGCTAGTATCAATGACACAATTTATATATATATACCGCAATTCACCAGAGTCCATAACTGCGAAAAGACCAGTTTTCGTTCTTCGCGCTTCTCCAGTGCGCATCTTCGCCCTGATTGGCGATACTCCCAAACGAAATGGAAAGCGATTAGCAGAGAGCTCGCTGCGTTCCCCCACCATCTTCCAACCTGCGCGTCGCAGTTATGGACTCTGGTGAACTGCGGTATATATATATTAAGGAATTTCTAACCTCAATACTTTATTTGACGTTATAAATACATATTACATTTAAAATGTAAAATATGAAGCTCTGTTATCAAATATAATTGTTAGAATATGTTTATTACCTTTACTGTCTGTGGGCAGAGAATCCCTAACCTCCTGTACACCATCAGCCATAGCTTTCACTTTGTTGGGTCATCAACCAACAATGACATATCTATTTAAAGTGACGGATAAAACGGTAACCCACTCAAGTGCGTGCCATCCCTTCATTAATCTAATTAAATATATTAATAGAAATTCCTTGACTCTATCCAACACAATACATCATTTATAATGACAACAAAGCCATGTTACTAACTCCAAATATCCAAACCTACTGTATTTTCTGCTGCAGTGACTACAGATCCAACAAGACTGGACATGCCTTTGTTCTCGAGAGGCCGTGATTTGGGGGATCTTAGACACCCCAAGATAAGCCTGCTCTAACATCTTTTACCGCATCTCACACTGACAGCTGAAAAGAAACAATGTTGACTCTCTTCGATTCTATTTTCTTAAAAATTAGTCAAAATCCGCACAAGATCGAAAAATTATTAAAGTAATTGCTCGATAAACTTATATTCTCAAATCTGTGTTTTAAAAAGGCCGCCATAAATCAAATATTTTTAAAATTTGACTCCAGTCCCATCTATATAAAAACGGTGAAAACTATTCAACACCTTACCGACTAGGTTCGAAACGTGTGGCGGCCGACGTCGATGTCGATAAAGAAGATAACGCCGTCAAGGTTATTCTCACTACCACCTTTTTCAAACTATATTTATCTGTTCATTTGTCATGTTTAAAACAAATTGGAATTGCTTTTATGAACATTCGTTCTTCACTAAATCCTCAAACCATTAAGACATGTCAACCTTTCAAAATTCCCTTTTCAATAAATCTTTTAATTTATACAACCGAATGTTTTAACTTTTAATTTTTAATTTGGGCTAAGACACTAGCTCCGTCTATCGGGAAGTCGCTGAAATTACTAGCCAAGTACATAGGTTCAACAACTTCCCGACAGTTGGCGCTAATGTTCCGTTGTTTCTGAAACAGTTGTTGATGAATGCAATATTACTTTGATTATAAGATGTATAGTAAGCAAGTAAGCACAATTTATATAGTAAGTAAGCACAATTTGTATAATAAGTAAGCACAATCTGTATATCAGTCCATGGGCAAACAAGAAAGCCTAGGACTTATTGAAATAAAAAAAAAAATAGTTGTTGAGTAGTTTCCGCCGCTTTTGTATAGTTGGTACTGGAGACAAATTTCAAAAATATTTTATTTATAGCACCTTTTTAAAATGCAAGTTTGAGAATACAAGTTTATCAAACAATTACTTTAATAATTTTTTGGTCTTATGCTGATTTTGACTAAACATTGTTCCTCTTCGGTTTTGAATCCGAGGTGTGGTAAAAAGGATGCTTATCTTCTTCTACAGTACTTGGAGCAGTCGCAGTAAACGTCAGTTGTATAAAACACATGAATGAATGAACGTGCGGAAATAGGATGTGTATTGACGCAGGTTATATATATAGTATATGCATTCGTGGCAAAGTAGTTTTATAATTTTATGTGGATATTGTCATTTTTATATGCAGCTAAGCAATAATATAGTATTCGCTTATGTACCCTAATCCTAACATACTGGATAATTAATTGTATCAGTTTTACGGATTTGACGCTGTTCTATATAAAGTGCAACTTAAATGTAAGTTTTATTTAGTAAATACTGTAAGTAATTTAAGATTCAAGACGCGTAAAGCAAATGTAAAGGAAAATTATTCTTCGTATAGCGCACTTTATCTATTATCATCCTAAATAAACGAAAGATATTTTTTTGCATCCAATGATAAGAGAAACCTAGTTATATTATTAATTTTATTTAGAAAATTATATTTTAATTAATATAAGGTTTGTAAATTTGAAATGCTGTGTCGTACAACACTGAGCATAGACTTCTCCGATGAAATTGACAATGTATGAGAGGAAGCCCAGTACTTACCTAAGTATACTTGATGTCACGAGAGTCCATAACTGCAAAAAGACCAGTTTTCGTTCTTTTCTGCGCATTGTCGCTCTGATTGACGATACTTCCAGCGGAAGTGGAAAGCGATTGGCGGATCGCTTTCCCCCACCATCTTCCAACCTGCGCGCTTAGTTATGGACTCTCGTGACCTCAAGTATAAATACAAAGGGCTATAGCTCCCCACCACTTGCGCATAAACGTTTACGCGGGAAAATTTTAATTAGTATTTGCTTTGTTATTCATACCCTTCAGTTATATACTAAATTTTATAATATTTAATTTACAAATTTATATTTATATTAATAAACAAATTTGAATTTATTACACTTTTTAATTTTGCAACACTATATCTATATACAGATGGATAATGCACAGTTAAAAAAATGTTTCTCTGACGATACTGTATTCAATCTAATCAATAAAATGTTTATAACATTACAAGATAGTGAGATAAAGAGAAATAATGTGTATCTAGAGCTGGTATGTATTTACAATGCTTATTCTTATGGATTTTTGACAATAACATTGCAACAAATTTTTTAGAATATAATATTAAATTCAATTGCAGGTAGTTAAAACATTAATAGAAAGAATGAAATCAATGAATTCATTGTTTGAAAAAGCATATAAAGAAATTATTTTTTGTGGTAGTTTTTATAAAGGTACAAAAGTAGGCCATCCAAATGAATTTGATTTAAATATTATTTTAAAACTTCCAATTATCTGTGATTCTATAAATGTAAGGATATTGTGAATTATTATAAATATCAATAAAAATATCTTCTTTTATTATTATTATTTTTTAAATTATTATATCTCTTATATTTTTAGTTTAGTCAAGTAGAGCCAGCTTTCATTCAAATACTTGTAAAAGAAAATTCATTTGCATCAAACTATAATAATCTTTCAAATAAAGAGCAGAGGTAAACAAATATACAAGCTATAAACTATTTAATTATATTTTTATAATGGTACATGATATGTACAATGTTTAATGTTACTGTACTTATTATTATTCAGGTTACTCAGAACATTTATGTATAATGGCTTTTTAAACCCAGATAAATTTCGTCAATGGGTTGAAGGAATTATAAGCAAAGTTATTAGTGAACTACCAAGAGTTGGAGATAAACATTGCTTGGAAGTAAAAAATGTTTCTGCTAATTTTACTACAAGAATTAAAGTAAAAAAAAGTGGTCCAGCATTTACATTGATGTTAAATATCCCACAAGAAAATGATGAAATACACATTGATTTAGTTCCTGCATTAGCTTTTAATATACATTTACTTAATGGATATTTTAAAAAATTAACTGAACTTCATGGGGTTAGTAAATTGCATTATTATGTTTCCTTCACTCTAGAATAATACAGACAGTAGATTACAGAAAAGTTTCCTTCTTTTAAATTATTACACTTGGTAAATATAAAAGTCATCTTTGATAAATTAAATAGATATAGTATTTTTTATTTGTTCACGTGAATATAGCTTCTGTGGCAAATAATAATGGTTTAAATATAAATTACGTGAAATAGTAGAGGTATTAATAATTACAGATTTACTTTAAGTATAAGTATGTTTAACTGTATGTTCATATTATAGTAAATAATTTTTTTTTTTTCAGTATCAAAATAAAACATGTTATGCAATTCCACTACCTTTAAAAGATATTAATTCTGATGCAACTCATTGGAGACTTTCTTTTTGCAATCAAGAAAAAGAACTTCTTTCGAAGTATGGCCGAATAAAGCCTATTATACGTCAAATGAAGGTTTATGCAATGTAAAGAATATTGAATTTTTAATATAATTGAACAGTACCTTCACATTATTGTACTTGCAGAAATTGAGAGACATGCAGAACTGGAAAAGCATAGCCAGTTATTTCATTGAAACATTATTTTTAAACACGTTAAACAAATCAGAAATGGATTTGGACAAAATACCTTCAACATTACTTTTCTACATGGTAATGTATACAAAATTAATACATAAGGCTTGCATGATACATTTATATATGAATTGTATTTATACATATGTAGATGCTTAAAGAACTACATCAGGCTTGTGAACAACACAAAATACCATTTTTTTGGGATGATAGATATAATTTATTAGGAAAAATTCAACACATCGAAATGTTTAATATTTCTTCACGTATGAATAACATTATAAAAATGATTGAAAAAAATATAATGACAAACAAATTTATATTAGCTGAATATATTTGTAAGTTCGTATTTTATTAAAGGATGCATATCTTTAATCTAAATATTTACACCAAATTTCTAATAAAATTATTTTTTTGTATTGTTACAGTAACCAAACATGAAATGGAATTGCTGATTGCTAAACAAAGTCTAATACACATGAGCTTACCTGCTTACAGTTCTTCAAATAAAGGAGACGAGCCACAGGAAAATGGTTCGATCTGTTCAATATTATGACTTAATTTTATAGATTGCAGTTTGTTTATAAAATAATGTTAGTTTTATCTTAAAATGATAATTTTTGTATCGAAATTTTAACTATTATATTTAACAATTCAGATATCATAAACTACTAAAAGTATATTGTAATAATTTTATAAAATTTTGATAAAATGGTTTTTTAATGAATATTTATAATTATAAATGTAATAATGATCACATGCATCTTTCCTAGGTAAAATAGAATTATATGCTCTAAATATTGTATAGAAAACATCATTAAAAAAGTTACTGATGTAACATACATTGTGTTACTCTTTCTCTTTGTCATAGTTAATTAAAGGTGTTGCTTTACAATCTGCCCATTCAACAAAATAGTTCCCTAATTGAATTGCACAACGTATCATACTAAGGCAGTCTCCTTCTGCAGTATGAGCATTTTGTGGATCAGTTCCAAAAATATGTTTACAAACGCTAGACAATTTAAAATTAACTGGCTGTCCACTTGTAAAATGTAATTTTCTTCTTGCAATGCTTTCTTTTCTCTTGTGCAAACATTTATCCATATCTTGTGATTTTATAACTTGATTTTCAGGTGTTTTCTCATTCATTTTCTGTATTTTTTTATAACAACTAGTTTTTGGAGTGTTAAGTATATTGGCAGCACTAGAATTACTTTCTTTATTTTCATGGTTATTCTTATTATACTTCTTAAAACTTGAATTCATAACAGAATCTAATGCATCACATAATGCTTTATCATAACCATCATTTAACAAACTCTTAATATCCTCTTTATTAGACATAGAGGAAGTGGTTTGTATGTCATTTCTATTTTCTATTGCGTTTTCTTTCAGTGAAAAAAAATCTTTAATTAGATTAAGCATGTCAATGCTGAGAACATCTCCACTGACATCCTATAAAGTATAAAATTAAATTATTCATAAGCTCAAAAATTATTATTACAAACTTATAAACACCTTATTAATATTTTTAAGTTCTGATAAAAATATTGGATAATCAAAGTTATTTCCATTGTATGCTACAAAGCAAGTTGGTGGTGTCTGTCGATTTATAAAATTCATAACTAGATTACATGCTTCATAGTTAAAATATTGAACTTCTTCTAAATTTTTATTTGATAAACCTGTAATAACATGACTTTAATAAAAGAATTAATGACTTTAATTAAATATCATTAGGGATAAAATACCTGTTAAATTATGAATTAATTTAGAAATATCTGTATTTGGATGTACTGGCAAAACTAGCTTATGTAAAACTCTTGGTAAAGGATCCATAGTTTCACATATAGCATTTCTTGACACTGCAATTAATGATAGTTCTATGATCTTGGGCATAACTTTTCTTTCAATTAATCCGGTTGTTTCCAGATCAAAGAATATAAACGTTTTAATCATTTTTAAAGACTGATCCAATGCATGCAATTTAATTCCTATTAAGAAAATATAGTTCATAATATTAATACTGTCAATCCTTTCATTTATGTTATAATGTAAAAATTTATTTACACTTAAATTTTTATTTAATGGAGTTAATATTATAGTAATCAGTTATAAAACCTACTTACCATGCATCTAATTTTTACATTTATAAATACTAAGACTTTTATTTGTATGTCAGATAAGCATATCTCTCATGTATTGGTGCCTATGTGAGATTAGATAAATACGATTTTTAAGATTACTTTTTATCAAGCATATTACTTTCTTAAACATGATTTTTCTGCTTGCTCTTTGTATATAGATACACTATCACTTTCTTAAAATAAATATCATTTCGTTCTTTTCATCAAGTATGTTACTACATTAAATTGTGATTGAATTCTCCAATTTGCAAGAAATGTTTTCTATGTGATATTCAATTACACATTGAATTAATATATAGAAGTAATTTAAAAACACCAAAAGGTCTGTTTTATAAAGAATAGTTGCATAAAAAGGACTGAAACTATAAAATCACAGAAAAGCAGCAGTTGTGTTAGGTTATCACATTTTTTACTACATAACACGTATTTATTAATTTAATTATTGATAAGCAAACATATATTTTAATTCGTAGTTATTTATGTTTAATAAAAACATGTAATGAGCTATTTAATGTGTATACATACATTGGTATGTAAATCAATAAACTAAACTGATATCAATGACTACAGATAGTAGAGAAAACTGGACATTAGTGGACATGCCCTTATTCTCAAAGGGTCGTGATTCACGACTCGTGAATTTGTGCCTCGAGAATGAGCGCCATCTGCTCTTTCCTAGTATAAAGGTGTTAAAAACACCACCCCCCTAAATGCATCCCACTTTTTCCGAGGGGAAAATTTATATCATATCATACAAAGATGTGAAACGTTTCACACTGCACTAGTCTAATCACCGACGAGATGCATGCCCCTGCAAACTATGGTAAAACAAGCATGACTGTTATACGGGTTGCTGCCTGTACGGGTTGACCTAACTTCACCTGGGGATCTTTGGCACCCCCAAAATCATGACTTCTTGAGAACAGCGGGATGTTCTGGCCTTTCGTATTTGTAATCTCTGATAATTATTAAAATTGAAAAACGTGAGAGCTCTCTTGTGGAGAAAACATTGAATCACATTTAATGGGAAGCAAAGAAGCAACCGGTTGTTTAATTTAATGTCATTATTGTAAAATTTGCTTTTTTGTATACAATGAAAACTACATAATCATTTTAATTATATATGTTACAAAACATTATTCACTATGTCTGTGGATTTAATGAATATTGATGGGAATATAAAACGGGTGCAGAAGGAAACTTTAACCCCATACAAAGTAGCAACTGTCATTTTAATTAAAGAATACTGTAATGAAACAACAAAAGGTAACTTTGGATATATTCTTTTAAATATTGTAACATAACTTCTACATGTGATGATACTATAATATGTGTACTGATTGTATAATAAATTACTATAGAACCTGTAACTGACCAACATGTGAAAAATAACATTAATAATGTATTTTTATTATAGCAATTGTTGAAAGACGTGACTTTTGTTTAGCTGCATTAAAATTAATTCAAGTAAGTATTGGTAATTTATATATAACAGTTTTAATGAATTTAAACAAATATAATGCATTACAATGTAATTATTACTGATTATTTTCAGTCACCTGATATGGAGTTCAATGCCCTTTTGAATATACTGTACTCTCCTGAATATATTTTGCATCGTTTTGCTCATCAATTAGAAGTACAACTAAATGTGTTAAAAGGGAAAGGAGTTGAAGGATTATTAGATTTATTTGACAGTGTTGGACGTCTTATGAAACCAACAATAGATCTTGCTTTACCCGCACTGAATAAAAATTCTGTTCTTGGATTATATATAAGAAGAGTTATCATTTTTTTCGAGAAGTTACCTTTTGATCAAGTTGTAGCACTTTATGAAGCTTTAAAAAAATATTTAGAAAGAAGATCTAACGCTTCTGAAAGTTCTGGTATTTGTATGGGTTCAAAGGCAGAAGATTCTTATTCGAATGAGTATGTATTTATAATACATATAAGTTGCATTTATATTGTGCTCATTTAAACTGTAGTATTTTATATTATTAATAGAATTAAAACAACCTGGGGTGGAAGACAAGCTGAATTACTTGTTGCACAGCAAGCACACGCATTGCAGACAGACGAACACAAAGCAATGCCTCCTGCAGAGCTCCAAGTTCTTGTAAGGGAACTTTTAAGCTGTAGTCCTTATTATGCAGAAGCTGTGAGTACTGTGTGGTAAGAATGTTTTTCTGTTTACATGTTGAATGTAAACAAATATCTTTTTATATTACTTACATCTTAATGTGTTTCAGCATTATTTAAGTTACTTAAATTGCTTAAGAGTTAACGAGTACTGTGGTGCTGTAGATAGTCTATATCATTGTTTTGATAGATTAGCTGCTATGGAAAATCGTTCTGCACCTGAAGATAGGTCCCGTATCTTTAGATATGCAGCTTTAAATTTAGCAGTCCTACATGCTCAATTTAATCATAAGTATGTTCCAATATGTTAATATTATGATGATAGGTTTAGTTGATTCCTAAGTAAAATTTATGTTAATGTTTTTTTTATTATTATTCTTTTAAAGAGAAGTAGCACAAGCTGCTTTAAAAGAATCTATCATGATGGCTCAAGAAGCTGGAGATAATGTCTGTTTGCAATTAGCTCATGCTTGGATGTATTATTTAACTACTAGGCAAAAGTAAGTGTCAAAATTATTTAATAAATATTGATACATGTAAATTATCGTATATATAATGTTTTCTCTTAGAGGGCCACTTATAGAACGATCTGTTGGTAAAGCGAGTATGTTAGGAATAACTCATACAACTGGATTAGGTCTTATCGCGTATGCTCATAATTCTGCTTTAGAAGCTAAGAATCCATCACAAGTGTTTGAGGTATGAATTTACATGAATGTAATAATTATAGTTCTAGAAATGTCGTCCTTGTTAAGTAATTAAACTTTATTGTAGACTTTGACAAAATCTGACGTTTTAAATTGTCAACATTCCATGACAGATTTAATGTCAATAACGTATGCTGAGAAATGTGCATTATGGGCGTATTATGGTAAAACCGAGATGTCTTCGGTTTGCGGGCAATTGTTACTTTTACATAATACAGGCGATAAAAAGCAACATATGTTCAATGGACCATCTACTTGCCAGGCTGTTGTTAATATTGCAAATATTTTAGTAGAATTTGGTGAATATTCCATGGTTGATATTGTACTTGCTCATGCCAAAGATAGATTTCCTAATGAACCATGTAATAAGGTATTATTTATTGATAAAAATAATTTTATTTAAACACAGTAGATATACATATCACTTTATAGTATTTCCTATGCCTGTTTAATAGATATGGATGTTAAGTGAGCAACTTTATGTATTTACACAATTAACGAGACAAGAAAAGTGGAGCGAAGCCGAGGCAATAGCGTTAAATATATCAAGTTTAGATTTATTGGAATGTAAATTTAGGTACAATAACGTTCTGAAGCATTATTTTAATATTATGTATTGGCATCATTTTTATATGGAAACTGAATTTTTAGGTTAGCAGAAGTTTATTTAGGGAAAGGAGATTATCCCAAAGGTTTAGAATGTATCAACGGTATTGAGAAAGATGAACAAATTACACCTCAAAATAAAATAAGAACTATGATTTTATCGAGTCAAATAATGTGTGCATCTGTTTCACCAGAGAATAGAATTGCGGGATCCAATTCTTTAGTGCTTCTAAATACAGCCTTGGAATTGGCTGTAAAAAATCATTTATCTTACTACGAAGCTTTAATTAAAATGCATCTTGCAAATATTCAGGTAATTAAATTTGCTAATATATCTTTCTCTGTATTTTTTTCTAGTAATATCGCAATGATAATTATTTTTTCTATTAATTTTTAGTTAATAATGAATATGCCGACTTTAGCAGTAAACTTAGTGGAAGAAGTAATAATACAAATTTTAGCTCACGGAGGCTATTATGATCAGGGTAGAGCATTTGTTTTGTACGCGAAATGTTTGGTTGCTACCGCTCCAGCAAACGATAAAGCACGAAAAGAAGTTATTTTAAAAGCTATTAAAACACTTTCGAAAGCAAAAGATTATTTTATGAAAGTCGAAGCGTATGGAAGACTTCGTACGACATTGTGCCTAGAATCTTTATTATGCCATGAGATTGACCTTAAAACTGAACGAAATCAATGTGCTTTCGAATTTCGTCAACTAGATCAACAACTTCTCACAAAGCTGGACAACTTGTCTTTATATTGAAAGCATAAGAAAAGAATAAAAGACACATGAAATTTAAATACCTCTTTTGTATTGATAAATAAAGTAATTAAACAGATCACTTCTTCATTTATTTTATGTTTAAGTATTAAATATTTATTTGCTTCCTAAAACACAAGATATTATCTGTTTGGTGAAGAAACAAAAATTGAAGGAAAGCGAGGATGCGAGCAACGACAAGTATACAATAGAAACATTTATTTATAGAATCCGCTGCAAAGGTACAACGGAAGTTTTGATAATCTAGTTTTCTACCTACTCCACGTACAGGAGTTAGGTATAATTCATGCGAGTTGTTTTCATCTTCCATTTATTTTGCACCGTCATTTTCTTGAATTCTTTATTGAAGATTCAACTCACACGAATCACGTAATAAGTGCACACGAGACACAGATAGGTGAGCGACGATACACGGAAATTGCAGGGATGAATTTTCACTAAAAGAAAAAACAAAAGTAGAAAAATCCTTTCTAGGAGGATTAATCCCAACAATTTTCGGTGACACGTCAAAGACATTAGATGATGCTTTGTTGAGGAAAGTTTAGATGTGTATAAGTGATAGATTACATCCGGTACAACACGTCAAGAAACACGCATATAGGTTTTGAATTCTATCAGTGACGTCTTCTGTGAGCAATTTTTATCTTATTCAAGAATTTCCTATATTCGAAAAAAGCATTCCTTTTCTTTACAGTGTTGATTATCTTTTCTCTAGTGCTAATGGTGAGACTCATTTTGCAATTACATTTTCTTTTTTTTTTTTAATCAGATATGTTCTTTTTTCTGGAAACATCTTTTTCGATTAATGATTATAAAAACTTATTTTAAATAAACTTGTAACATTTTTTTTTTTCAAACACAGGTGCTCACTTTACAGTACAACGAAGAAAGGGAAGACGTACGAAGATACACAGCCGGGTTTACACACAATATTTCTGTTTTTAATTCTTCTAAATACAGCAGTGTCACGATTTAGAAAAGATTACTATATTGTCACCATCTTTCAATTTGTTTCAATGTACTAAATCATTATTAAATTCATTTCTTCTTACAGAAAATCAAACAAAAATTTGCAGAGTTTGGGGTTTATAATCTTGTAGATATTTCGTTTACTTTAATTAATTCTAAATAAAATTTATTTAATAGAATCTTTCAAACTCACATGTAATTTTGTTGTACCTAAATAATTATTAAGAATATTATCATTATTTTTATAATATAAAGCAAAAATTTCAATAAAAATTATAATTCAATATTCCTTATATAAAATCCAATCATCTCGACACTTTCTGGGTTATTAGAATAATTATAAAAATGCGTTAAAAATAATTGTTGGCGTGTCTGTACTATAAATGATGAAACTAAAGAAACAAAAGAAATTAGATGTCCGAAGCTATACGTACTGTGTTCGCGATATTTTTTTGTTCGAGGTAGGTTTTCCTTCATCTTTTCATCTAACGTTATTCTGATTGAGCATCTAAGAAGGGACAGACTTTGTAGCCGGGGGGTAGGTCGCACAAGAATCAAGCAACGAGAGACCCTCACCTCCAGAATTGCTTGTTTTATCATGATTATCCTTACTTCCACGGGATCCTGACTTATTCGTTATCGAGAATAGGACGGCAGGGAGGTCGTACAGAAGTAATTTACACGTCATTACAGAAATACAACAGATTGACAGAACAATCAAACTTCCATAACTCTTTGCACAGAGTTGATATCCAGAGCGCAACTGCCAATAGTGTCAGGTGAATCTTGGAGGTATTCTTCAGATGGTGTCACACCTGCGGTTCTCATGTCGTCCCTCACACGTTCCACCTGTACAAATACTTTTTATCAATATCTACACAAAATTGGCTATCTTTCAGCCTGTCGGTTAAGAATAAATTTCAACCTGTCGCATGACCCTCAACAAATTTAGACCAGCGACTTTCTTTAAGTCCAGCACGTTCCACTTGCCACTTCGAAGAAGTTCAGCGAATAATTCTGGATACTTTGAAACATCCTCAAGTCCTCTGGGTGTTCTGTCAACAGAATTGAATGATATATCCTTCGAATTGAGTATCATTGTTCGAGTTAAGTTACAATATGAATCTCGTTATTCATTAATTCATTATTTTATACATGGAATACGATGTTTGACGACTGCACATACTTGTTTATACCATCGAAATCGCCACCGACACCGATGTGGTCCACGCCAATTAAATTTCTAATGTAGTAGATGTGCTCAGCGACATCCGAGACGCTGGCTTGAGAGCCACACTTTACAAAGTAATTATAAAATGTCACCATTACTAATCCACCGTTATCAGCCTGCAAATGAAGTCCACAGATTAGTACAATTATTTAGTAGGAAATCTTTGGTTTGCAGTGTACAAAGTTGACAAGAACAAATAGATTTCTTAATTTCTTTTTCACCAAGGGGGTGAAGAGGAGAACTCTTTAAAACTCGACAACAGAAAAGAATTGCTGGTGGTTAATGTTTCCAGCTATTAAAAGCTCATCCACCGAGGGCCGAGATAATTATCTATCTTCCAGAGAAGAAAGTGTAGAAACTACAATTTTTCTTTTCTTCATTTAAGACAAATTAAAATTAGAATCCATTATATAATCCAAACTATAGCTACATTATTTGACTAAAAAAGAAATGGTCTATGGTTTTTACTTGAATGCTGGTAGTGAATCAAAATAAATCAAAGAAATATGTTACTAAAGCATGTAATTTTGTATGTACCAGCTGCCTCAGAATGTCGTCGGGAACGTTTCTCGACGAGTTACAAATGGCAAAGGCCGAGGAATGAGAAAAAATGAGGGGTGCTCTGCTGGCCCTTAAAGCGTCCCTCATGGTAGCCCTCGCTGTGTGACTAAGGTCTATCAGCATTCCCAGCCTATTCATTTCCTGGACCACTGCTCTTCCGAATGCCGTCAGACCGCCTCCTGGAACAAAGGAAACTTTACTTTCCACCCTCTATTTACCTTTGAAACAAGGTGAGAATTGTGCCCTCTGTATCTATTGATCTTGTCTCGTTTGTCAAACGTCTTGTGAGTATTATTTATCTTCGGATAAAAGAAAGATGGCGAATGCTCGATCAAATATGATTCAATGGTATAATTTTTTGTATATTTTTCTGATTTTGTCATATCATTCATAACTGAATGACGCTTGAATCTCCATAAAAATTCATTATCTATATTATAATTCTTTGATTTGGGTTAAATCTGGTTTACCATCTTCATCCTCGTCTTCCACCGACGAACTCTTTGCCCAAGGTGTGTTACAGGTGTGCGTGAGCGTGAGATACCGAACACCCAATTGATATAGCGTCCTTAAAACGGCTAAACTACTTCCTAGACTATGTCCACCCTCCACTCCAATTAGGGAAGCTATCCTGCCTTTTCCGTGGGCCTCCAAGATTTCTGAAAATCGTCGACACACAGAACCTGAATTTTTCACTTCGTATTTCCTTGAATTCAGAATAGGAACATTGAAATTTATCCTTGAGAAGTATTTGAAGCTGTCAGGCAAGAATATCAGATTAAAAGTTAATCGAAAGATTTTACTGAAGATATTCACCCCTTGAAGATGCAGCGAACTGCATGTCTTGAGAGTATTTTTCTATGAGCCTCTTAATGAGGTCCACCTGCTCCAGAGTCAACTGGACTGCGTTGAGATGCTGCGACTCGCATGGCACATAAGCAGCCCAAAACTATGAACAAAAAATCCATTGGATTATTCTTTAATTAATTAACTAACTGTCCTTTGTGTTTCATATATCGTACACTGGCTACGTACAATATTTTACAATTAGAGTGCTCCAAGTAGATTAACTCTGCTGTTCTCTTTGCTTACGTTTTCATTTTATCACATTTGAATTTTTAAACAAATTATTCGTAAGAAGAAATTAAAAATATTAAAAAAGTAAGAGAAAAGAAATCTTTAAAAGTATGGTACATATGGAAGTGTAATTTTCATTGTGGGTCGTATAGACCCGAAGGGAGACAGGAGGATTAGGAAATTATTGTTCTCTTTATTAACAGATACAAAAGGATATGTTTCCAAATATTTATAGCCACGATCTATGGTTGCAATTAGCCGGGCGAGCTCGAATTTCGGTTGATTATTGCAGTTTAATAAGATCCCTGTCCATTATTGTTTCCGAATTTATTACTCATTATTTCATAGCGTGCTACCGTGACAAATTTAACGATCGTGGTTTTACGCTTATAATTTATCGTACCGCAAATAATGGTATCACGTAGCGTCTATAAATAATCCTCTGTATGAAAATTTACTGAAACTTATAGTTGGATAGATCATTATGATATGGTGTAATGAGGTGTCGTTAAAAGTTTCTTATTCAAAAAGAAAAAGGAATCAGCAAGTATGCAATTATATAAAAATTGCAAATATTTGCAAATTGCAATTATAGAACATTTGATTCATCCCTGCCGATTTGAATATTAAACCAACGCTTCCTTTGAACTCCACAGCCCATTAATGACCCACGTAACGTGTTAATGCAGCACGATTCAGCGTTTGGAGAAGGATTTAGCGCCATCGCGACTTCGTGCTCTCGAGTGAAGAAATCGTGGTAATGGTGTACCCGGTGAGAAAGGTGATGAAAGTAGGATATAAAAACAGGAAAAAGTATAGGGCCAGGGAGAAATGCGGCCAGCTATGGTACAAAAAGAAACTGCCAGAAAACGTAGGGAACCGGTAACGAGCTTGCGGTCGAAAGCGCAGAGACAGAAAGCAACGCGCGGCTGGAACGTAATATCGAACCACCTTCCTGTTTCATTTCTGCACACCATAGCCGGGTGTTTCATTATGAGTGTCGCACGCCGTTATTACACGGTAACCTTCATAAAGAAAGGAACATTTTCTGTGTCATCGTTGTCATGTCCTTCTTAATATCGCGACTTTACGGGATATCCGCTCTGCCGAGTGGAAACTAGATAAAAATTCGAATATTGCAATGTTTTCGAGTAATGAAAAAGGATGCTTCCCATGGTAGATCTAGAAATATTATTAAACCTTCTTTGGTTTATGAGGATCACACCCTCAAATTTTTAAATTAAGTGTGCTTCGATAAGTGTTAGTATAAGTATAAGAAAATTTGTTTAATAATAGGGGGTTGATGATATATTCTTTATTTCACCCTAAGACATTGGATTTACGAGGCAACTCCCCAAGAGTTACATTTACTTATTAATGAAACTTTATTACCTTATAGAGTCCGCCAAGCTAAACACTTCTGTATCATATTTTTGGGGTAGACAGTTAATTGCTGAGGAGATATTTTAACAATTCAAGTTAATTATTCGTTATATTCTAAAGTAACGCGTTTATGTATGACTTCAAATCTAAAGGTCCATGGTTCGAATCACGGTTCCTTCATATTTTTTTTTTTTTCAGGATACCTTGTTTTTTTTTGATCTAATCGTTATGATATAGATGATTATACATTTATTTATAATAAATGAACCCTGATTTATTTATTTTTTTGTTCTCTTTTAAACCCTGACTTATTCCTTACTATTTATTTATGTACAATTCTTATCGTTTTAATGGAATAATAACGTAAAGGGCCAAATGAAATGCTATTTAGAAAGATAATTACCTGACCACCGACCATGCCTTGACGAAGTCTAACCAGGTCAGTCTGACTCCAGGCGCTTTTACTCCATGGCGCGACCTGTCGTAGATCCTTATCAAAGTCAAAGTCGGCCAACTGATTGTGGACAAAGTTTCGAATGTTCCAAGGTAAGTCATTGTGCCCGTCGATCAGAGGCACCTCCGAAAGAACCTGTCGCACGGTCTCTAGTCTTTCCTTAGATGTCAGGTGTGAAATCTCGCCATCAGCTGGTCGAGGCCCAACTTTGCCAATCCAGCTTCCAATTGACAGTATGATCACGCTCGCTGTCCAGACACCGCTCTGACCAACACACTGTAACCATCGATTATTGCTTGTTAGTTGAAAATTGTTGGATAACAATTTCAAGAACTACAATTAGAGTACGTGAAGTTTGATTGAGGGTAGGTGGACTGGGAAGCTACTTTTTATATTCAAATTTACGAGGTACTGATTTTAGATATTCAGGTTTTATATGGATAGCATTCTTTGGTACTGCAGTAAAATTATAGTAATTAATCATTATTTACAGTTTTCCAGATTTTATTATTGAATTTATTAGAAATTTTTAAAAATCTTTCAATTTAAAATGACCGCTACCAATTATACCACAGGCGCCATCTAAGAACAAAGTGCGGAACCTTGACGAAAACATTTACCTACCGGGGTTGAAACATTTTGTCGATTACCGACTGAGATTAAAATAAATTATTTTAACGACAGATGGTACTCGCAGCATTCTGAAGCGCGTATTATATGAAATTAAAAACCTATTTTTAAACAATTCCCGTTTATTATTTTTAGATTAAAATAGAAATTCTTTTCTTAATAAGTTAATTAATTGAACTCAGTTAAAAATTTTAATATTACAATGATTCGAAATTTCGGTGCCTTGAAATTTAATAATAAAATCATTTTATAAAATAAGTATCAAATCTTGTTTGTTCTTAGATTAATTGTAAAGCAGTTTCATTATTCTTAAGCTTGACAAAAGTTTATCTAATGACGTTTTCGATTAAAAAGTGATCGCAAGATTAATCCACCGTTGATTTAAAAATATATTATTTAAAATCTCAACAAAACATACCATCATATGAAAATTAATAACATAAATCACTGGTAATATGCGCTTAACAATTACCATTTTACATAGACAGATAATTTTATCAATTTCGACCTCAATTATCGAGAAATTTCATTATACAAAGGGTCGTTCGATCAAAACTTCATCCGGCCAGTAATTAGATTATCCGAAATCTTGCTGGTCTACGAACTCCGTTAGTTCGGTGCTAGTTTAATCAACCGGTTAAACGCTGTTCATAATTGCGTGTACCGTGGGAATAACGATTTTCAAAGACACCGTGCCCTTTTACAAAATCTTCCTAATTACACTCGGATATTAATTTTCGGTGTATGTATTTCTCATTAATCCACGGGTGTTTGTTTGCATTTTGCTGTCAAGTTTGTTTCTATAGAACGAAGCAAAGCCTTCCCAAAGAGGCAAAGGCAAGTGAGCAGCTAAAGGGAACGAACAGCTTTGATCCTTTCATCTAGAAATAATTTACTGTTTCGTCTTGTGAGTTGCAAATGTTCCCCGGGACAGGTAACTGTCATCACAGGGCTGAAGGAGATGAATAGTTTATGATCTTCGTCAAAGGAACCTTTTCCAGCAACAATTGTTGCATGTGGCTTTCAGAACGCGTTCAACTCTATCAGATTTGTACTTTTCTCCTCAAATAAATCCTGTGCTTTTATTTACCTTCAATAAATAATTTTTTAGAAGGGAGATTATTAAAAATTTGGAGCTCAGGCATGCACTGGTGTACTTATGATAGATAGAGCTCCCTTAAAATTTTAATATTTTAAAATTGCATTAATTACATTAATTATAGAATTGTAAAATTTTGAAATTTCAAAATTTCGAAGGAACTTTTAAGAGAATAAGATACAATGAAATTTAGTTCCAGTATGAACATTTATATCACTCACTGAGGAAATAATTTATTTAAAAAGGTTTGATCAAAGGATGGAACATAAGATTAATCCTTATAATTGCATCCTTCTTCATCAAACGGGATCGCTTCGTCAGCGGTAATTCGTCAAAGGGACGACGGATTGCTTCTTGCCACAGGAATGATTGATCAGCTTGATTAAGACGGAAAATCACTTGTCAGAGTCCGTCCAGGTAGAAGACAAACTTCCCTTTTAATGTCGCTCGAATCGTAGGAAAAATCTGTTGGAACGAGCGAACGTTAAAACGACAATTTGATCGTGAAGTGGAAAGTTTCACGATCGTACGTTTCACACGTGAACTTCCATTAACTGATCCTTTCAGAGGGGCTTTCAACCTGTACCGCGATACAATGAACTTTTACTCTTTCGAATTACCGAAGGTGAATCTGGGAGAAAGTGTACCGTAACATTGAAAATCTGTGAAACTAATTTTCCAATAAATGGCGAGCAAAAAATCCTTTCGAGAGAAGTTTCAAACTTTATTCTCCTTTGTGCAATGTATACTTCTGTTCAAAAGTCAGGATTCTGATAATTTTTATTATTTAAATTATACAGCTTCGTTGCTCCATATATTTACTTTTCTTTAATCATTATTAGGATTGCAATAATTTTTTTAAGGGCCTTTATGAAATTTTAATAAGTGCATTTATCAATTGTAATATGTTAATTTTATTAAATTCACCAATTTTTAAACTTTGCCTATTTTGAAAGGGAACTATCATAAGCTGTTAAATTAATAACCTTATGAAAATTATATATAATAAAGTATTTAAAATATTCCAATTGTATTATATTTATTTAAATCTAGAACCATATTAAAATAGAATGAAATTAACTAATGAAAATTGAATAAGGTTTCTTGATATATCATTTAAAGAAAATACTGGACTGTAAAAGATTATATGGTATCAGAATTTTTTGTAAATAAAATATATATAAATTTGTGAATGTAAAATATTATTCACGCCATTTGGTTAATACACAAAAGACTGCAAATGCACTAAGAAAAGAAAAACTGCAGAGTGCTGAACAATGTAGTTTAGTTGTATACAGCGTCTGACCAAACGGCTACCTCCACTACTTGCCCGCTAGACTGCAGTAACATAGCCGCGTCTGATCTAACACATGATTTTCCACTTGCCAGCGACCGAGTTTCCTACTACCCTATGGGAATAACCGTAACATGCTAATTTTATCTTATCTTGACTTCGTTACTAAAGGAGATTCCAAAACACTTCTTGCTTCACTTATAGTAACAATTTTGCTAATATTATACAAATTTTCATTTCATTTTGAGTAGAGAATGGAATACATTTATTAAGAGTTTGATTGCCATAGTGGAAATGGTACAATATAATTGTAATTTATTTCTCAACTTGACCCGTTATATTTAAAGTATGATTCTTTTATTTTTTATAATTCTTTCATTTGTTTTTTAGGAAATTAATATATTATTAATGCTATTTCGAGTTTTAAAAAATTTCTAATGTTGTCTAAAATCTTAGATTCTTTAATTATCCTTCTTTTAGTGATTAATTGAAGATTAAAATAAAATAGTAATAACCTAAATCTTGAAAAGAAACACAAATAAAATTTTATCAAAACTCCCAGGTGAAAATTTCAAAAAACGACCTCAAACCTGAAGAACTTCCTTTTCCTATTCCCGTGTTAGTCGATTAATACTGGTCGTAAAAATTCCAATATCAGCCGACAACCTCGAAGAAGAAGAAGAAGAATAAAGGTGGAGTAGGTCCGACAAATCTTCCTCGAGGTAGCATCGACACGAAACCGGCTCGCAATTTACATTCCCCCGGGGGCGTTTTTATTAAAAGATCGTAAAAGGGGTTCGTGGAGCCCTCGATTCTTCGTTAATGTCTTCGACGTAGCAACGGAGACGGGGAAAACAGAAGGGACCTAACGACGAGAAAGCAGCCATTGCCGGAGAGGGAGCGTTGAGCAGAGGGGTAGGAAAGGTGGTTCGTACTGGCCAGCATCCAAATGTCGAGCGTAATAAAAGGTCGTATTAAAGGAATACGCTGGAAGAAAGTCACGGACAGTGGCAACAAAGGACGATCTATTGATCCGTGGCTGGATCTATGCATCGTATTCGGTGAAACCACAATGGGGTAGTTACATCGGACTAAAGTTGCTAACGACCATCCCTCTTTTTACTTTTCTCCCTCTGTTTTGTTCTCCCTTTCTCGCAGCTTGATTTTTTTCCTCATTCAATACGTGATCTGATTGAAAGATAATGAACTCTTTTTTATAATGTATTTTTAAAAATTTTAATTTCATCTTTATAAACTATAATAAAAATTGTTTCGTTACTTCGAGATAATTTGATTTTTAAAAATGTAATATAGGAAAACTCTTATGAACATGCTCTCATTACTTTTGTATCAGACCACGTATATCGTTACTTCGAATACAGGCTGGAATTTAATGTGTTCTCCCTCCAGTCCCGAATTTATCACCTCGCTGCTCGAGACAGCTTCCTTGAAATTGGGTGGCAAGGGAGAGATCCACGTTGACCCCGTCGAAATACAGGGTGAGTTACGTCATTTGCGTTACGTAGTTGTTTTGTTGAAGATAGAAAATTCAATTTCACCGTACTTTTATGTCATAAAATCATCGAAATCGTCATGGCTCTAATTAGCAAGTAGTACAAACGACGATAAATCAGAACAAGTAATAAAATAGGCTTCTGTGGGTTATTTCAACCCCAAACAAAAAACGTATAATATGTTAAACTCGTATGGTAATAAGAAATTTCTTTTAGGGTGGAAATCATAAAACATTAACAAATTATGATAAAATTACGCCATTTTCTTATCGATATACCGAAGTTAAGGAAAAATTCACGTGTGAACAAGATGCATTCGCGATGTTTCGTGAGCGTACAGAATCGTTTCGTCCGTTGGGTTCGCATCTTCAGCTACCATCGCACAGTCCCCAGAGAAATTTCCATGAAATACTGTAGCCGGTCACGTAACGTGAATTGCGACCGTCGGAATTTCCAATTCACTTCCTTGACGCCCCGGCATTTACTCTTAGATTTCCACTTACTTGCATCCACTTTATCGGGCAGGTCGCCGACAGTACGTGATTCAATAATTTGAAAATATAAGGGGAGGCTCGTGCGTGACGTGCCGGACGAACGGAGATGAATAAGAATTTATAGAACCAGAATAATCTGCAGTAACATTTCTTTCAAGTAATAAGTTTCATTTCCACTTAATACATTATAGCAATTATAACAATTCAAATTATCCCATCATTTATTATAAAAAAAAAGAATACTG